AAATGCTTGCTATCATTGAAGCACTGAAGGATTGGAGGAACTTTCTAGAAGGACTCCCTCAACCATTCGACATCATTACGGACCATTCGAACCTCGAATTCTGGCGCACTGCACAAGACCTCACCCGCCGACAAGCCCGATGGGCCCTCTATCTGTCACGGTTTGACTTTCATATGATCCACCGCCCTGGCAGAGTAAACACCCAAGCTGATGCTCTCTCCCGCATGGCAGTTCATCATGTATCGGACAGCGATGATAACCGACAACAGACAGTCCTTAAACCTGGCCACTTCGTAAAAATTGCAGCTTCGATCCTACAGAACCCCTTAGAGGATCGTATCCGGAAAGCCTCAGAACGGGAAGCACAGGTATTGGAGGGTCTCAAGACAGTCAAAGAGCACGGACTACAGCGCTTGGCCAATGGGATAGCCGAATGGGAAGAGGACAATGGGTTGGTCTACTACCGAGGTCGAGTATACGTACCAGCAAACGATGACCTACGCACTGAGGTACTCCGTCAATGCCATGACCATCCAACTGCAGGACACCCCGGACTACACGGGACACTCGACTTGGTCAGTACCCATTTCTGGTGGCCTACGTTGCGCTCTTTTGTGGAAAAATACGTTGAGGGATGCGAGGTTTGTGCCCGTAAGAAGATCCAGCGACACCCACGGGCCGTAACTCAACCATTAGATGTACCATCCGGTCTATGGGAAGAGGTAGGGGTTGACCTGATAACACAGCTACCTAACTCCCAAGGCTACGATGCTGTCTTGGTTTGCACAGACCTGTATGGAAAACAAATTCACGCTATTCCTTGCACCAGCTCCATCACAGCCGAAGGCGTTGCCGATATCTACTACCGAGAGATCTTCCGTCTCCATGGTCTTCCTCTTCACTTTAAATCCGACCGCGGACCCCAGTTTGCAGCTAAACTCATGCGATCCCTTCTCGCTAGGCTAGGAATTAAATCAGATCTAACCTCCGGATACCGTCCTCAGTCTAATGGCCAAACCGAACGAGCAAATCAGGAAGTAGAGAAATACATCCGCCTCTATGTAGGACGACGACAAGACGACTGGGCAGAGCACCTTCCCATGGCGGAGTTTGTGATTAACTCACGGACTCATTCTGCGCTAGGCATGTCCCCGTTCGAGCTAACCTACGGCTATCTTCCCCTGTTCAATATCCCAGTGGGCCAACGCAGCGGCATTCCAGCTGTGGATGACCGTATACGGATTCTCCGAGAAGTGCGACAAGATGCCGGAGCTGCCTTACACCTAGGAAAGAAACAACAGAAGGAGGGATACGAACGCGGGAAGCGGAAAGCTCATCAATTTAAAGTTGGAGACCTAGTCTGGCTCAGTGCAGAGGACATTAACCTTCAGCTTTCCAGTGAAAAGTTAGGAGATCGACAGCTTGGCCCTTATCGCATTCTGGAGAAAATTGGCCCTTTAGACTACCGCCTTGACCTTCCCCTATCCCTAGATCGCCTCCATCCCGTCTTCCATGTTGATAAACTATACCCCTGGAAAGGTAACTCCATTAATGGCAAAATACCAACACCACCAGAGCCGGTATACTTAGAGGATGAAGACGAACCGGAATACGAAGTAGAGGAGATCTTAGACAGCCGGGTTCGATGGAAGAAGTTGGAATATTTGGTTAAGTGGAAAGGTTACGACGCAGGGCACAACTCTTGGGAACCCGCAGCCAACCTCAGTCGAGCACCAAAAATTGTTCGGGCCTTTCATAAAAAAACACCCAACAGCGGCAAAGCCTTGACCATCGAGGGCAATGGTCATAAGGAGGGGGGTAATGTCATAAAGTACGCAGCCCCTATCATTTTCCTTTTCTCACCGTCTCGACGCCTTTACTTGTACGATACATCATCCCATCACTGTCAAACCCCCATCGATTACTGATCCATCGATTACTGATCCACCTGACCCATCTTCTCCTTCTACTGGCTTCCGCCACCTTCCTTGTTCCTAAACTGTACAGTATTACATTGTTGTTTCTCGCAGACCGGATTATGTATATATAGCCAACCCTCCACAGCCTGGTCCCTTATCTTGACCTCTCTGTCATTATCTGGGACCAGGTATGTGCTTACTTATTATTACCTATGACTACGATACTCAATATATCTCTGTCATTATCTGGGACCAGCCTGCCGCCGTTCTGCTCAGTCGCTCCGCCTTGTTGCCTTGTCCAGTTGCTCCGCCTCGCCGTTCTGCTTAGTCGCTCCGCTTTCCCGCTCCGTTAGTCACTCCGCCTCTGCCGCTTCGTGACAGTTCCTCCATAGCTGTAGCAAGGTTAGCTACTTGTCTGATGAGCTGAGCCATGAGATCCTCCGCAGAGGTGTTTGGGGCAGGCGGGATAGGAGTCGACATGATGGGAGTAGGCAATCGGGGCTGGGGAATCGGCAGGAAGGTTATATTGCTCACAGTGAGTGGCTCTCGGATTGAGTTCGAAAGGGCGTTGGGGCAAGGTTGAGACTGGCAATCGCGCCAAGTATCGTCGTTGTTATGGGCGTGAGCTTGGTCTCTGGGGTCAAGTGCATGCGGGAGTGCGGAGCAGTCTATACTGGCAACAGGTGTTTCAGAGTCGGGCGGAACTGGGGAAGACGTGGTGTCTATAGACCCTGCAAGGACAACCTTATTGGTAGGCTGTCAGTGCAGTAATGGATCTTGACCTAATGTCACGAAGCGGCAGAGGCGGAGTGACTAACGGAGCGGGAAAGCGGAGCGACTAAGCAGAACGGTGAGGCGGAGCGACTGGACAAGGCGGAGCGACTAAGCAGAACGGCGGCAGGCTGGTCCCAGATAATGACAGAGATATATTGAGTATCGTAGTCATAGGTAATAATAAGTAAGCACATACCTGGTCCCAGATAATGACAGAGAGGTCAAGATAAGGGACCAGGCTGTGGAGGGTTGGCTATATATACATAATCCGGTCTGCGAGAAACAACAATGTAATACTGTACAGTTTAGGAACAAGGAAGGTGGCGGAAGCCAATAGAAGGAGAAGATGGGTCAGGTGGATCAGTAATCGATGGGGGTTTGACAGTGATGGGATGATGTATCGTACAAGTAAAGGCGTCGAGACGGTGAGAAAAGGAAAATGATAGGGGCTGCGTACTTTATGACAGACTGGACCTATGCAAAAGGGTGTGTGTTCAAAATATACCAAGCTGGGGCTTGGGGACGTTGCGGAATTACTTAAATAGGTACGGGAAGTAAACAAGGGAACATCAGGGGATCTAGCGGACATGAGGCAGGTAATTGAGATTGCTACTTAATGGAGTTGATCGTAGGAGGTCTGTAGGCGTGTCGGGGAGCTATGCGTGTCGGGAAAGTCGTCGGACATTCAGGAAATGGGAAGGTTCCAGGGGGATGGTGGTACTGTCTTAAGGGGGAGCAGAGCTAGATAAGAGGTATGGGAACATATGGTTGGTGTTGAGGCAGGCCTGGTTGTGGTTAGGGCATGACACAAATCCCCAAAGGAGGGTGATGGGTGAATGAATTGACTATTGATTTGCATGCCTTTGGGCTGGTGGAATCTCTTTGCGACAGTTACCACCAGGTGAAATCATCGCAATTTCCTTTCTTCTCCTTGAGTACCTAAGTTAAATATGCATAAAAGGTCCCGTTTGCAGACTGAAGTTTATTCCTGTTCGTTCCTAATGCAATCCTTCCCCCCAAAGAATCAATGCTGGTTTGGTATGATTTTTTCTGTATCCCCACCAATATTATGCTTTTTCTTCATTCTCTTCTTCTTATTTGACTTAAGCTTTCGTAGGCATCAGAATCCTTTGCAGTGGTGTGTTCTCAATTCCTCTTCCCTAATTCTTACATTGCTCAGATTATCTTGTTTAGTGATCATATTGTGGCCATTACTATTGTCGTCCTCTCATCCCAACTGTCCTCACACTTCCAAACACGACATTTTTTACTATGTTGTTTGGACTCTTCTCCTCAAGTTTTCTCTTGATCATTGCTCTCCTCGGTGTCACTTCCATTAGTGTTGCCAGCCCCTTGGCAATGGTGGTTAACCTTGACCAGCACCACAGTAAATCAATTTCAAGCTCTTTGTCTTCCCAAAGTTGACAAGGAGAATGTAGATACAAAACGTGGACATCATACTCTCAGAGTTGCACGCATAAAGAAAGATCGAAAGACTTGGCTGAAAATAAAACAGAAGGAGCCAGCTTCCTTTTTCTTCGCCCTTTGCATTGGCACCAAAAACTGCTACGTATATGATTCGTCATTGAATACTGTCACTACCGTCGAGAATCCAAAGTCCACACTGCCGAATAAATCAATTATTTTCGATCGCTGGAGTGCAACGAGTTTGGGTTCCGTTCAGTTTTTTGAAACTGGTCCTTGCACAGAGTCCAAGGTCATTGACAGCCTTGTAAACAAGGTAGATATGGACAACTGTGCAGCAGGAATTTGGGAATTTGATTGCAGTATGTGCCGAGGAGGAGAAGAGAAACCGTGTTGTGGAGGACATTTTAGAGAAAGGAAAAGACCAGCCCTTCGGACATCTGGGTAAATTGCTTAATAAACCATTATAGTCTGCATTAAGATGTAACAAGACACTAAAAGACATTCTGAACTTTCCGCAACATTCTGCTGAAATATTCTTTATTACATCCAACCAGCGGCGAAGTATATTCAATCAAACAAACAACGTCTTCATACCATCCAATGAATGTATGCACTCCTTCAGTATTCCTTGCTCCCTGTTCTTCCTAGCCTTGTCAAAATCTGTCAAAATTTTGTCATCCGATTTCTCATTGTTGGCCTTGTTGAAATTCCGTCAATGAGTATTGCTTTTCCCTCTATTGACTATCCTTTATCCTTCCCAAGTCCTCACTGACTGACACCAGTTTCCTTGTTCCAACTGCAACGATGCCTTCGGACGATCACGATAGTTGGAGATCACTGTTGTTGACAGTGCCACCAGTGCAAGCTCTTTCCGGAAGTTCGCTCTCGGTTCGGCTTGGGCTACGGAACTTTTGTCAATTTACCTTCCACCTAACTTGCTTTTTTTCCAGCTCCGCTAAGCGCCCCCCGATTGCCCCTCACCGGTCGATCCGAGAAATACCATTGCATTAGAAGTTTTTTCTTTCTTTCTTTGTATGTAAACATTCAATTCAGCTACGTACAACGAAGGTAAACAGGATTTGAATTTGACAAGTTTTTCTGCTCTTTCCAAGACCTTGTTCCGCACGCATCAAAAACGTTGTACCTTTGTACGAACTCAAGTATATCATGGCGAACTCGTCGTACTCAGGCTACAACCCAAATTCGAACTTGAATATCCCGTACTCGAGCTACGATGGGGGTCGAGGCTACGGTTTCGGTCACGGTCCAGAGCGTTTTTCCGATTCGAAACCAGAGAACCCGTACGGGATACAAGAACAAGAACAAGAAGTAGGTCCGCATTCTTCTTACTATGATGAAGATAACTCTGGTATGCCCGTCGAGTCCGCTCGTCAAAACCTCTCACATCCCGAAAACCCTGCCGACAATTACTGTGGACGCTCAGGACACTCACAACACCCGTTAGGACCCTCTTCTCAAAATTCGAGGGTTTACAATCCGTCTTCCGAGTTACCTTCTTCTTTTGTTTTTTCCTCCTTGGGTCCTACGAGACCTGCACAAGTTCCTTCTGAGCGGGAGCACCCTCGTCGTGATCATTTTCCTCAAACCAGTCACACTAATGATCATCTCAACCAGCTCAAACAATCCCGGGACTCCCATAATGATTCTATTAGTATCAGCCACGTCTCGAACCGTCACTTCAGTGACCGGTACCATCATCACGATGGCGAGCCCGAGTGGGACCACAGCGAATTCCCAGGTCGTCGTCAGCCTGAGGTTCCGAATGGGATCGCAGGTACTCCGAGAGGTTCAGGGTATTTTGACAATAACAAAATTAATCGTGACGGGTCGGCGGCGTCGGTGCGTCCGTTGCAGGGCGTTGAGGCGAGTACCGAGTTACGGTCAGGTTCCTCCTCTTCATCCTCCTCGGGCTCTGCCAAGTCCAATAATTCATTGCCTAGACATGGTCGTCGTGCGCCTTCTATGCGAGTAGTAGTACCGTCGTACACCACGCAACAGGAACTTGTCCATTGGGATGAAACACTCCATCGGCGCTCGGAAGGTGGATTGGGTTCGGGTTCGGGTTCGGCATGGTTACGGGAGTGTGTAGACTCGAAGATGGAGATGGGAGGGAGCAACTCGAACTTGATGCAGACCGAGACTCCGCGGACGCGGACATCAACTTTGACGTTGACAGAAAATCTCATCGCGTGCGGAGCGAAAGAGTTGCAAGAGATTTTCGAGATTTGGGAAGAGGTGAGTTGTTCGATGAATAAGTAGTCCGGGGTTAGTACAACGCATATATGCATAAATATTTATGCTGGTTTCAACAGTGTCGCGTAAAATCCCGGAAGGAGGGAACGGTTCCGAGACTGGTGTTTCAGAGAGAATCGGGACAAAGGGGAGAAGGAGAAGGAGAACGGGGACGAGGAGAGGAACGAAACCGACATGGATATCGAGATAAACAACAAGGACTCAATGGTCAACGACGAGAACCTCGAGAAAATGATAAGCTTCCGAAATTTAGCTCTCGAGTCAATCGAACCGGATCACTTGAGGTTCATGATGAACTTGATAGTGCAAAGGTATTCCAAGAAATCGTGAGCAGATTCTCGAAAGTATTTCGTGGACCGCATATTGATGATAAGGGGTATTATTTTCTTGATGTTGGGTGAGTGTTTCGTGTTCTTGCCAGTGATATATGTGTATTTTTTTCTGACTACCGTGACATATTGTCGTAGATGTCGTCCAGGCGGATTCGCTTCTTTTATTTTGCAAAACAACGCTTTCGCTATAGGGGTGGGGATATCACCGCTTCCGCGGGAGTCGGTGTCCGCTCCAGAGACCGTTAAACTTGAAGATGGAGTGTTGGAACGTGAACGTGAACGTGCACAAGAAGAGTACTACGCACGCCATCAAAAACATTATGCTCCTTTCACTCGGTCGTCAAACTCGAGATTCAAGCTATACTTTCTTGATATTGCCAAGATAGACCTGCGTCGTCCGGGTGAAAAGAATCGTCGGGGGCTCTTTAATACTACTTCCGAGTTGACTAGCTGGTCTGGGTTTGGTAACGAGGAATCTATTCAAGGAGGTTTAGGTCATGGGGCGAGTGAAGTTACCACTGCTGCTGATATCCCGTCAGAGTTGTTGGATTTGAAGAGGCCACCGCAGGAGTTGTTGTTTGGGTTCAAACAGGGTCCGGAGTCAAACAGGCATACAATGGCAGGAGCGTCGTCGAGGAAGTTTAATCTTGTTATATTGGATGATCACACCTCTCCATCATCCTCATTAACTAGTGACCTCCACTCCATTGCCCAACTCCTCCTCGGGTTCCAATCCCTCACTCAATCTCAATCCGGTGGTGGAACTCTCGTCGTCCGTCTCAGACACCCCGAGAGCGTGATCACCGCTAAAATCCTGTATATGCTTGACACGCTTTCCTCTACCGTCGCTGTCGTGAAACCGCGGGGAATGCTCGGCGACGCGGAGGATCCAGGGTGTTTCTATGCTATAGCGCAGAATGTTGGAGGAGGCCCGCATGGACATAAGGTTGGAGAGGTGGTGGAGGAGTTGAGGAAGCTTTGGTGGAAGTTGGTTATGAGGGTTGTGCGGTGGAAAGGTTTGGTGGGGTCGGTTGGATCTAATGTGAAAGTTGAAGCCGATGCGATGAGGGATATATGTGGATTGAGAGAAGAAGATTTTGATTTTATCATCTATACTGACGAGCTGAAGGGATCGAAGAGTGATTATTTGGTACGTTTGGTGGCTCTTGGGGAAATGGTTTGGACAAGACAGCTTGAGATGATATTGATGGTTGGGGATAATCGCAAGTAAAAGTTTCACCGTTGAAACTAATATTGTACAGTCAATATAACAGTAAATAACGATAGTTGGTTTCACAGGAAAGGTACCCGTGGGAATTATTCTCATCGCCACCTTCCCGTCGACGCCCATCCAAAAGTCGATATAGTTCTTCCCGTCAGTTCCCGTCCTCCACTTTCCTCCGCTTTCAGCTCGGTTCTCGTCCTCGTTCTCATCCAACTCCTTCTATCCCTCTTCGTCCTATGTACCAACTCAGACCATCCACCAGTTTCTACTCTCCGTCGGTGCAAATTTCGCGATGGATGGCAGAATTGCAATTAGCGTTTCCGTCGGTGGATGGCGTCCAACGGCGGACGCTAGATGCTATGTACTTATTGCGATTCGCGAGTTTTTCTGTTGCTCTTGCTCCCCTGTACTAGCCTGTACTCCCCCTGGTTTCCTTGCCTTTCAATAATCGGGTTCTTTGGACTTCTCATATTACATGTATGTACAATTTCTAAACTCCAAGTTGTTCTTCAAAGGTACTGTAGTGCCATGCAATTGTACTGCCATGTCCAGCCTCGTACCGGCTCCGGCAGGCTCTAGCGAGGGTGTACAAACTCTGCTTCAAATATAAACGTTTCATAGACATCATCACATATGTATTTTTCTGATGAAATTTCAAACCCTACACCGACCCTAGCATACATACCGCTTGGCAATAATACATACCGGTAACGCGTTTCGTTTAAAAAGCTCGGGTTCCAAGTTTGAAACACTCCTACGGTCGTTCCTTTATATTTCATTCTTCCTCTGTGCCACCTTTGCTGTCTCTTCTTTCACTTTTGGGTCTCTCCCTCTTTGCCTTTGCTTCTATAGTCCAGAGCAACCTCGGGCTCCACAACATAAATTGACGTTCATTCATCCATCTATCCGTCCATCCATCCATTCACTATCATTCATGACTCGCCTCGCATTCTTCGTTGCTCTGCTCCCGAGTTTGAGCTTAGTATTCGCTCAGGATTTAGGTGTTCCGACTACATGGAGGGTATGCGTCAAAGTGGCGTTCTTTCGTTCTATATTCGATAACTGATTCGTTACGATCGTATATCACAGGAATTCAACAACTCCCGCCTCCTAGCTGAACGTATATCAATCGCGAAATCCGCGATCGACACTATTCTTCCTCAGTTGGATACGTCTAATGGCCAGTTCGATGGTACGCACTCTCTCCTTCCTATGAAATGGCAATTTAATCAATTAATTATCACCCTCCTCTGTCATATAGGCATCGGCTTCTGGCAATCCGCCAACGTCTTCTCCTCCATGGCGAATTTCGACCATCTGGCTAGTTCGACGGTGTATAAGGACCAAGTCATCAATGGCCTCACGGCGGCTTACAAGACCTACCCGAACTTCGATCCGAATGGGTACAATGATGATGCGATGTACGTTCTACCACACACTCCCTTCTTATTAGCGGTCTATACAGGTGTTGACATTCGGATATACATCAGGTGGTGGGCAACGGCTTCATACTATGCCTACAGAGCATACGGGGTGAGATATTCGTGTTTCATATCCCTTCTGAGGATGTTCGTTGATTGGGTAAATACTCATCAGGACTCGACGATGTTATCTATGGCTGTCGCGATCTGGACCCGTGTGTCGAATTAGTACGTCTCGCAGTTGTATATATGTTTGATTTTGCTGGGACTGAACTTTTTCTACTTTTTTTCTTCAACGTGTAGTGTCGTCTCGGTAGCAGACGCTAAAGCAGGAAAACAACCGAACAAGGATTTCACGATTGCTGGGACGTGTTATGGAGGTGAGTCCTCGTTGAACCGACCTTATTGATGAAACTATAACATATTCATTCACCTTTGTGTGTCCTTGTAGAAACTATGGCTGGGGGTGTTTTCTGGGTTCGTTCTTCTCCCTTCAGCCTCTCGTTGTTGGGAGATATCTAAACATGAACTTGTTAAAACATGATATAGCGTCCGACAAGTGATGATACAGGCATCAACTCGATCACTACTGGGTGAGTGTTTTTTTTTGAATCTTGAGTGAGTGATGGTTGAGCTAATCTGATTATAGCTTATACACCACGTACGTCTCTAGTACATCTCCCGCGACCTTTCTTTCCCTATTCTAACCTCCCCACCCCATCTCTCCTTCCCCTTTACCTTTATTTTTGCCCTTTTCCCTCCCTTCAGCCTCTCCGCCTACCTCGCCGAAACCACAGGCGACTCTACCTACACCGCCGCCGCCACCCTCAGCGCTCAATGGATCCAAAACCTCCAAATCAGCTCCAGTGGAATCATCCTAGACGGCGTCAGCGGAGCCGACTGCACACGCACAGCCGCGAGCTGGCTGTTCACGTATAATTCCGGGAAATACATCGAGGGGTTGAGTGTGTTGAAGGATGTTACGGGGGCTGCTATTTGGAAGTCGCTGTGAGTTTTTACATCGGTTGCTTTTTCTTTGGTGTTTCTGACTATGACTTTACTAAACCTGTGGGCAGAATGACCAACATCACCGCTGCTGCTGTGAAATCACCTGTTTGGCAAGGAAGCAATGGGATTATCACTGAAGGTGCTAGTAAGACGTCGGATAATGATGGTGTTGGGTTCAAAGGTGGGTATTTTTATGGAGGTGGTCGTTGTTTGAATTGATGCTGACTGTTTTACTGTTATTCCCTTTATCACTCCTTCCATGTAGCCATCTTCATCCGAGGCCTCGACGAAGTCAGCGTTCGCTCCGCAGACAACAGCGCTCTCCAAATCCTCATCCACAGTTATAACGATGTCCAGGTACTTCCCAAGTTCTCTCAACATAATAAATAAACTTGATTTTACTGACGCTCCTCCCCCTTTTGCAGTACAACGCGCTCCTGGAACTCGCCGCAAACGGTACTTCGTACTCGCCTTCGTGGCCTGGACCCGCTCAGGAGTTCACTACGTGGGGTCAGATGGCTGCGTTGGATGTGATGGTTACAGCGATCAACACGAATTCGCCGTGAATCTCGACGTCGGATGCGCCGAGTGCTTCGAGTTCCTCGACCTCGATTACTTGGAGTTCTGGTTCTCCTAGTAGTTCGAGTACACCGGGTGCTTCGGATACCCCGACAGCCGCAAATCAAGTTCAAAAAAACCATGCACGCAAAAATACTCCAGTTCATTCGATGTCTGGATTCCACCTCGGGCTTGGACTTGGGCTTGGGCTTGGACTTTTCTTTATGGGAGGACTACGCCGTTGCTGAGTTTTATAATTATTTATTGGTTTATCTACATTATTTATCTTCACTTTCAGCAATTGCTGTATATAATATATACCTCTTTTGTAAGTAAATATGTCTGTCGTTACTGTACTAGGTCAATGTCTATCTTTATGATGTTGATACTGTGATATTCACATTCTCTACTTGTGCCGGCGAAACGGTGAAGATACATTGCCAGATATGACCAGGTACAGACTATTGCCTCAACTCGCTCACCTCGGCACACGTACACCACTCACACCTCGATCCCCCGGGCACAATTACACTTTGATCTCCTTCAGGATCAGCGTATAGCATGGTACTATTTCAAAAATATCATCTACTGGGGCCTTTGAGCTGAAGGAGGGGAAAAAGATGGGGGGCATCGGAAAGGAGGAGAGGGTAAATCAATGAAAATTGCAGAAAAATGTAAGCTCAAATAAATCAACTCATGGACACACTGGGAATTGAACCCAGCACCCCCCGCATGCTAAGCGGATGTGATAACCAACTACACCATGTGCCCATATAACATGTGCTCTCAGAGACAGAACCAGTTATCAATCATCGATATCGATCAGGCCGGACTAAATTATCGATTCTGAGAACTCCAAAATGCAGAACCGCAGGGCCTGGCTTTTATGTCGTAGTATGGTTCAGTTCTTAATATCTCAATAAAAACCCCAGTAATCCCGGTTGCGTATCTCAAACAGGTCATTCCCAACTGAAATATGAATGAAAAAAGCATGTTGATTCTTGAAGAGAATGTACATATACAGTGATTCATCCTACTATCACATTGACTACCCTTCTTTCGCTCCTGGAGCTGTGCCCATTTTTCCCTATGTAATTTGTCCCCCCGACTTGACGTGACTGACGACCATTCGTTGTCATTCGCGAATATAGTTTAACACGGCTCCTACAACGCTCCTTCCAATAAACTCATCGCACGCGTCGCGCTCCCCCACGAGCTCTGAAATCCAGACCCTGCGTGGCCGTAATTGTGAACGAGAGGTATCTGCGGTGCAGATCCAGTCTCGGACTGAACAATCCACTCAACCTCCAGCCTTAACCCTCCCTTCCTCGCAGGCCGAAAGCCACACCCGGCTTCGATTATGAAGGGTTCGACGAGGTTGAGGAAGTCAGTGTCGGAGAGGTTGTCGAGAGCGTCTGGGGTCAATGTTATAGGAGTAATAGGAGTATAAGCGCCATTGGTGGAAGCAGTCGGTGGTGGAGGATGCAGCAGCTCGGGACAAAGCCTCACCCCTCTCCGCAAGATGTCTAGTGTAGTCTCTGGACGGGGAGTAGGGAAGAAATCGTTGGGCGATTTGGTGCCGCCAATGATTACCTGTGTGGAAGGTGGTTCATTATCATGGAGTTGAATGGAAAGGAGGAAATGAAGGAAATAGTGAGTAACGAATTCACAATCGGATCAATGACAATCACAAAGATATGTCCGATGATAGGAGGGCGAGACGATGAAATTTTGATATAAATGTAAACGAGACGAAGGAATCGAAAAAAACCACACATAGAACAAAGTAGAAAATCCAACTCACATCCCCACTCCTTCTCGGAATGATATACGTCCATAGATCCTCTTTGCCATCTTTCCCTTTTTTACTCAACGTCCTACCGAAATTGACCCACGGTGTCCTCATAAGAACAGTTTGACCTCGGAGAGGGTACATAGCCTCGTCTTGGACACCAGGGAGCGTGAGAGAACCGAGCCCGGTGCAGTTTATCAGGGCATCGATGGGCGGGGGGGTATCATCAGAACTTTCGATGGCTTCGCGTAACACACGCTGAACGCCCTTGATATCTTTAATATCATCAACTCGCCCCTTTACTACCTTTCCACCCTTCTGAATGAATCGGTCGTAGAGATACCGAAGGTAAACGGGCGGGTCAATGGTTAGAGTATTGAACGATACGCCGGAGTGAACGCTTAGATCAGCGAGTGATAGCGGAGACGATTCAAGAGTTGAAGGTGAGAGTATCTTGAACTGAAAAACGAGAGTCAGAGTGAGTTTGGAACACTACTACATAGAGGAAAGAGAAACTCTGTCGATACTCACATCAGGATACCAGCCCAAATGATGCTTCCTCTCCCCAGTATTCTCATCGATAGGAATCTCTTCATGATAATACTCCACCTGTTCAATCCTCATAAAACATTTCTCCGCATCGCTTTCCTTTGAGGATAAGTCCCACATGACACGAAAAGTTTCTTGGTCGATGGTTAATTGCTCTGGGTGCTCGGTGGTATAAGTTGAGGAATTGGCGTCTGGTGCGGAGACTCCTGGAAAAACAACCCGACGCGCGTCATATTACATTTTATCATGCATTCCAAATAAAGGGTTACCCACCAGTTCCTGTAGAATGAGAAACATGGTGTGCCCCAGCCCAATGACTCGTGTAAGCGATAGATTTTGGGTCAGTGTGTAGTTGCGAGGCGAGGATCGTTACTCTATAGTTCAGATTGCGTTTCGAGTTCGATTCGAGGATAGTTATAGCCGTTGTGAGGCCGACTACGCCTAGATACAAGCGAGTCAGTAGTAGAAGGGAGAAAAAGGTGCAGAATGCAAAATAAAAATACGCAGATAAGAACCTACCAGCTCCCAAGACGACTACGTTTTTGATATTCGATTTGTTTTCCGATCCTGGCAGAACGTTCTCAGAGTTATTCATGGTTGGTTATTTTTTGACTTGGGGTACTATCCAAAATCTTGAGGGGGGTTGTGAGTGTCGTCCTCGAACACACACACCGTTTAAATCAAAGAAAGAGTCGTACCTAGTCGTACATGATAACACCTTGATAAGGATTTATCCGCGTAATCGATAATTTAGGAACTTCCACGGAACCTGAAATACCGTTCCGTTTCCGTTTTTCGGGCTACACTGGCCCTACACATGACTCACCGCTTGCTTTCTTTTCTCATCAATCTATTGTGCCCCAGGTGCACCCCCAGCATGCTCCGTTTCGTTATTACATGTTTCTGTAAAAAGTAAATGGACCAACGAGCTTTACATGGTGCTGCGATGTCAATTAGGCGACATTTGGGCGACTGTCGCGAGAAGACACGGGCGCGTATAACCGGGGGGGCTTCAAATTTTTCGAGTCAAAACTTCAAACTGAATTGTGGTGACCATAATGGCGAAATAGATCGTAGTGGATTGTGACCTAGAAGCAACGATGGTGCGAGGCGTTATTGAACGTGAATTTTGTGGTTTTAATCATGAGTTTTCGGATGCCATTTAAAAATAACCAACTTGTTTGTCCGCTCAGAGGGTATACACCGGGTGTGCAAGGCATTGTCAATGAGTATAAATGTATACACCTGCGCATCACAGAGAAACCAACGACTTTGGCGGTACATCCGGCACGTCTCCACAGATAAGTACATGTCCGAGTCATCTTGAGGGTAAAACAGTGTTCTAAGTGTACTAATTCCATCTTGCCCATCGGCAAAGTTAATAGTCCCGAGTCATGCTTTGCGGAGATCCTTTGAAATTCAGAGGAGGAGTACTGGGACAGCAGGTGCTCAGTAGTTATCCTCGTTAATAGCAGGGTGAAGATTTTACTCATAGCACGAACACCCGCATTCTTAACGCAGCATAACGCGTCAATGATCATGGCAAGTAAGCGTCTCGGGCCCGCCGCATATATCCAACGTTCGAGCTTAGAACGGGTAAGTGGAGGTCGAAACAGACGGAATTTGGGAGAAGCGACTATGAGTGGCTCAAGAATAGATGACATTAGAAAGTGAACGTTTTCACGCGTAAACAGCGGGCATATTCTAGATATACCGTAATTTGAAGTCTGCATCCCATCTGGTTAGCTCAAGCTATACGCGAATACCTGTGGTGCTTAAGAACGTACCTTTTGCACAACTGTTCGCAAAGGCTGGTACCCGTTTGAGTCCATACTTTCCTATCCCACGTTTTCCGAGCATATTCTTGCTGAGATCAATCACCGTATTGCCATCGTATAATCCATAAGTGCAGCGTATATATCATTGAACTTGACCTCAGGCTGTTCTCTATCCGTGAACGGCACAGCGGGAGATTGCAGAAGTACTGGTTAGATTCTTTTGGCTCACATTGCTGACGAATTACCGTCCAGGAGTGTAGAGAATTACAACGCATAGGGAGTAAAACCTAGTAAGACGAAGGTTCGTTCCAACTTCCAACCCGCGCTCGCTGCGGGCCGGAGATCCTAGAGCTTACGATTGTTTGGTGCTATTTGGTAGAGGTCTGTACCGTACTTTGAGTTCCCCGCTCGTGTGGTACCAAGCTCCTGCTTCTGGTTAAATTACACCTCTGGTAAGGCTAGTCAGTAGCCCCCAGTGCCCTCTTATACTCAAGCGTACGCTCTCATTTTTCGAACCCAAAACTCTTTTTTGTGAACTTGCCTTCCTTTTTTCACTTCTAGCTAGTGCCAAGCGCTCTTGAGGTCAAGATTCTTCCGTCTTTTGTCTTCCCTCCCGCGCGTAGCTGTGATCTAAACACTAGAGAAGATCCCTCAAGCTGGGCCTTGTTAATAATATCAACCAGGACTAAGCACTTCTACCTTCTACCTGATGCTGATTCATCTAAATCCATCTTCCTCGCATCGAGATAACACTTTTCTCGTTGCCACTGTTGGCTGCGAGCATCACGGTCACAAATGCTACATAGATAGAAGTTGGAAGATTCCGGCATCCACAAATCGTTCACTGGTACTATGTAATATCGAACCATCGACCTAGTCATGTGTATCATTCATCCTGTTTGTCAAACTTTCCAGATTCTTTCGGTTAATAACGTCTCTCTATAATATTCACAGCATTCACAATCTCAAGAAAGCAATTGGGCTTCCCTTGCTCCAAGTTCCCTATATTCCCTCCTTGAGACGCAACCTTGTCTGGGTGTGCACAAAATGGCATACGCCCTTACCGCCGCCGCCGCCACTATTTTTGCTCTCCCAATTCTCCTCCTTCTTCACTCACTCTGGAAACCTTCTCGACTGTATCCTCTTCCTCCAGGTCCGAAGAAGCTTCCGATAGTCGAGAACATGTTTGATATACCGACTGGAGCATGTATCTGGCTAAAGTATGCTGAGATGTGCCAGAAATATAGTGAGTACACGTAGTATATACGTTTTATGTATTACACATTGTGAATTAGCTAAATCGTGTCGCTCATGGTCTTTCATCAGAGTCGGACATCATCCATCTGAGCGCGCTCGGGAACTCGATCGTTGTATTGAATTCTGCAAAGATGGTTAGCGATCTATTAGACAATCGAGGTTCAATATACTCAAGTAGACCTCCTGCAATAATGCTGGGAGAGCTTATGGGGTGAGAATTCAGTGAAAAAAAAAATCCACTCTTTGTAACTGTTATTGTTGACATCCAGAATCATAGGTGGGGGACCTCGGCTGTCTTCAGGCCCAATGATGATTTGTGGAAGGCACAGAGGAAGATTCTAAATCAAGCTCTCCCCCCTACTGATCCACAGAAATTCCACCAAAAGGAACTGAGTGCAACGCATGATCTGATTCGCGTTCTTCCGTATACAGATAATGTTATGCAAAGTTTACAAACGTGAGTTGGCAATTGATGTTCTCCGTCCCGAGTGTATGGCGGATAGACTTATCTGAGTTCGTATTTTTCTTTTCCTTAGATGGGCTGCGGCGTTCATCATGGATATCACATATGGTCTCAAAGACGAGGAAGCAGAACCATATCTCCCCATGGGCATGGCAGCAGTCAAATCAATGGGCATCGGGGGAACGCCTGGTGCATTCTATGTTGATCAAATTCCTATATGTGAGTATAGACCGAACCCTTATCGGCGAGGCCTGGATGTCTTAACGTGTGTTGTTCTCTCCCCAGTAAAATATATCCCCGAATGGTTCCCCGGAGCAGACTTTCAGCGTAAAGCAAGAGAGTGGTCCGACTTGCGTATGAACATGACTGAAAGTATTTTCAACGTCACCAAAGAGAAAGTGGTATGCAATTTTTTTTAAATCTTCACACCTCTGTTAATGGAGCCTATGAAAATCAGGCAATGGGAATCGCCGCGCCGTCCCTGACCTCGTTTGCCCTTGAGGAGATGGATCACAAGCAGGATTTGGCGAGCCAGGAAGATTTGATCAAAATAACTGCAATCACGGCTTTTTCAGGTAAATGCACAATTTCGCTCAATTAGGGAGTTCGGCCTCGGTGGCTCACAGCGTTCAAAGGTGGCGCAGATACTCCTGTCTCCGTATTAGGTATGAGGAGTCAATCACAAATTCCCGACTTGTCATATTATTTACACGACCGTGACACGACTCCCCCTACTAGGAGAGTTCATCCTGGCGATGCTCAGGAACCCGGAAGTTCAAGCCAAAGCTCATAGTGAGCTTGAGCGAGTTCTTGGACCAGGAAATCTACCGAGCCTCAACGATGTGGGATCGCTCCCGTATATCACGGCAGTTGTTCGAGAGACGCTGCGGTACAGTCCTGTCACTCCGCTCGGTGAGTAGTATTACTCAAGCCTGGAGCTCCTAAAATTATCAATCGACTATGTACATAATAATTTACAACTTGGGATATTTGGTTTTCAGCATTTCCGCATGAACTCATCGAAGATGACATATATGCGGGATATCTCCTTCCCAAGGGGTCTATCGTTTTGGCGAATGTTTGGTACGTCCGGGAGACTCATAATATAACCTTCTCGTCCCTAACATATGTCTTCACTGGTATGGAGGTCCATTCTCCATAATGAAGAGGACTATCCCGAACCGCACTTATTCAACCCTTCACGGTTCCTCGATTCCAATGGGCAAATTGACCCCGCAATCAAAGATCCAGCTACGCCAGTTTTTGGGTTCGGAAGACGTGTCTGCGTGAGCCTTCTCTGTCGTCCCCCTCTTTTCGGACATCTCAGTGAATTTTGAATGTTTCTTTTTGCAATTAGCCTGGAAAACACATTGCCCTTGATCTGTTGTGGATTGCTATTGCTTCGATCCTAACTTCATTCTCAATTGAGCCAGGATCCGACTACGAGGATGAGACCTTCGTCAAGCCTAACTTAAAATCCAAGTCGTCTGAGTCTGGACCGACGACCATGCTAAGCCACCCACGTCCGTTCAAGTGCCGCTTTATTCCTCGTTCAAAGGAGAAGTATCTCTAGGTCTTGGTAGTAATTACCCTGTAAGTACGACGTCAATCCTAGGTTAACCTACAAGCTAGTTTGAGGTTTGGATGTTTTCTTGAATGCTTGTCGATGTCTAGTAATGGTCACGGTCCCGCATCCCTAGTCCCTAAGAATAGTTGACAATATAGATTATCCTTTCCAGCAATCATGCCTCTCTGGAGCGGATTTACGACTGTCAGAACAACTTTACCAACCTTGAGCTGGGACGCCGAAGTTCTAGCGGGAGTCAACGCTCACGGACTCTGTGCCTCGTCGGCATTTATCTAGTCCCATTGAGCGAGAGTTGATCAATTGAACTTGTATGTTCATATGTGTGGTTAAATCGGTGATCTGCATAAAGCTAATGCGACACAAAGTTCATAATTATAAGTTCACTGGCAACGCTCTCAGCTCAAGATATATCTGGAATTAGATGAGAGGAGAAGTAATTAGCTTACACGCACAGTGACTATTGTTGCCTCACTATTACCATCGTATAAAAAGGTGTATTTGAACAACCGAATAACAGGAACAGAGGAAAAATGTATGTCAAATTATTGTATTCTCTGGGTTAAGTTTGCAATAGGGAATAAATCATTGCTTCAAAAGGATGCGATACATTTATTGTTTTAAAAAATTGTCGTTGGCCGAAAAGTTTAACGTATAATTTACATGTCATATACACCAGATAGTTTGTACCCCTAAGTGTCATACAGTATGTACAACATTTACATTTGCCTTGAAACTTCTGGTCACTAAATATGGGAAAAGCCTGCATATAAAGTTTACTTACTCGCTTCAAGTTATGCTTGTTTGTTCGCTTCCTTCTGGGCTTTGCCAGTCTCTTTCTGGATATTTCCTAAAGAATATATCATCAGAACAACGCGTCGCAGAAGCAGATGGCACGGCGAGTCAGATGTTAAAAAACAAATAATGGACTATAACCGTAACTTTGTAGTACTCACCACTAGTCTGTTTGCTCTTGTCACCTGTTATCGCACCCGTAACACTAGATACATAGCCGGAGACCTCGTCCTTCGCGCCCTCTGCAATTCCTTCTGCCTGGGCAGCCTTGTATTCTGTCTCGCCCTCGGCGTGTTCTTGTTTGCCTGATGTTTGCCAGGATTCAGCGCCAGTGAGATTGCCGACCTAGATTAGAATGATACACATTGAGCGAACAGTCGCGAACACGGAAATAAAGTCAAAACTCACAGCTTCAACGACATTGCCTTTCATTGAGTGATACTGGCCAGTGCTTTTGTCGGGTCCATTGGAAGAAGACATGATTGGTAATGAGTTTAGAGTTATTGAGGAAATTATTATTTCGAAAAATCGATGAGCGTTTATATATGTTTCCAATTACAATGACGCGCTATTCGAATAAAAAACGTCATATCTACGATGGAGGACTCGGAGGGAGATCATCGAGAAGGTGATGTCACGAAATGACGTCGGGGCGCGTTGCAAAATGATGGCGCATCAATTAATTAATGAACATGTGACTGCCGTTCATATGGGCACATGGTGTAGTTGGTTATCACATCCGCTTAGCATATTGCTTGTTCTTTGCGGGGGGTGCTGGGTTCAATTCCCAGTGTGTCCATTTTATTTTTTATTCACTGACTTGAATGTCCGATAAATGGTATAAAGTGGTAACAAAATGAGCGGACGTAAACATATTATTTAATCTGGGCTACATATTGGTATCAAATCAATTTCATGAATGCATTGTAGAAATCAAGAGATTGAAGGGCCAAAAATGATTTGTACAAACTTGATTATAAGGCATCGTAAGTATCAGTATATCAAACCGAAGAGGATAGACAGAAAGACGCCGCTTTGATCCAACTTACTCTCTCAGACATCTCTCCATAACCCCTCCGTGCCACTCATCCCATTCATCACCTCCCTTTCTACCCTAGCTACGCCCTCACCTGTGATCCATTCCACCGTCGTTCGCTCCCCGATGTCTTCACCTTCCCCCGCGTTCATTGAAACAAAAACTATTTTTGCCACCCCAGGACAATATAACCTGAGCTCGTTTCCCAACGCGCGGAAAGCTACTGGACCTACGACGGTTGGAGAAGGATTCCATGCGCTTATCTCGAGCTCGACACAGCACAAATAACGGAGTTGCATCAGAAGACCATAGAACAAGAGCCGCTGAATGGGTTCAAGTTGTTCGTAAGAAATACAGTTTTTTTCGTTCGAGGAAAAATATGGAAAGAAAAAAAAATTATGAGTTACATGCAAAAAACGGATCATCCGTTGAATAACATGACTAACCTCCCTTCCACCCACGGGTAAAACCAGAGTGCCCAGATACCTCAATGTACCCTTCAAACTGAGACTGCCAGTCGATTTAGTCGCACCTGCCGCTCTACCGTGACCACCGGATCCCGACCTGACCAAAGTTAAATTCACCACGGCCCTTAGTAAATCCATCGCAAAATTTTCTTCGTACTCTGCGTCAGCGATATCCAGAGCATACCATCCGCCTCTACCACTACCTCCCGTTAGTCCTTCCTGAACCGCTCTACCCCCTCTAGCACTTGATCTGTTCTTGGCAGGAACCAACGCCTTTCCTAACCCCTCAAACAAAACCTTCATCTCTGCCCTCTTTCCCTCCGGATCCGTGCGTGAAAAACATGTTTTTAGCCTTGACACGGGACGACCAGGCACAATAGCGATGGCCGCTTCCGAGAAAGTGCATTCCAGGGTGAATAGGTGCGGCAGGGCAGTTGGAGAAAGGGTAAGGCTATTGTGAGAGGCGCGTGGGCCAACAGGGCCTGAAGACATTGTAGTGACAGGGGTTTTCTCATCCAGCCCCGTAGATTCCTCTACCTCCCCAGGTTCCTCTCCTTCGTCGTAGTCTCCAATATACAGATCCTCGATTTCATCCTGTACATTTAGAAACCTTACCAAGTTCTCATCCCACCTCATGTCCGAATGGAAGCTTTTTAGCCGAAAAGGACAATCGGTGAGGATCCAGGCAAGACGGCCAGAGTAAGGCGAGGAAAAGGATCCGTCGATGACGATACTGAGATGACGGAGCCTGGACATTTTTTTCAACGCGTCAGAGATAGCAGGCCAGAGATTTTCTTCAGTCTCTAGTCGCGCCCTCGCACTGGAAGAAGTTGTAGGCACTTTGACATGCGGACCAGTTTCCAGTGACAACGCCAGTGCTACTGCTAACTCCATACTTTCGTCTTGATCGTCTGGCTCCAAGACTCCTGACTGTGCCTCGTTTTCTTCGGTGTCAGTAGCTTCATCGTCGCCTCCTCCTCCCTCTTCCTCATCTTCCTCTGCAGGTGCTTCTCCTTCTCCTCTCCTCTCCTCACCTTCTTCAATTGCAATAGTCAACGCCTCCACCAGCTCCGCGACCCTCGGTTGACTGACCAGCGTCTTACATATCCGCTCTGTCCTCTCTGTTTCATGCATGAACAGCGTATTGTAAAGAGCGCGTTCTGCGACGCGTCGAAACCCCTTTGATACGAGGCACAACGTTGCCAAATCAACGCGGCTCCGCACGTTGTTGACGATGATGCGATACGCTTCCAGTGACAGTTCCATCATGTCTCTAATGGGTCCCTATCTGTGTCCTCATCGACCAAATCCTTGTCCTGCCATGCAGCTGCCGAATCGAGCAGGAGAGCCGAGGGTTGGGGTTCTTTGTCAAAATAGGCGGAGATAATAGTACCGCTATAACAACGATGGATTTTTCTTTCCTGGAAGGGAACAAGGTCAAATATGTGTGTGTGCAGTGAAAAAGTTAACGGATGAGGCGTGGAAGGCTTCGGAGAGATTTTTTTGGGACGGAACGTAGCCACGCGATGAAATTCGAGTTCAACCCAAGTTTTTGTTCCGAATCGAAGAGGTAGAAGCCCAGAAGGTGAGCTAGAATCCCACTGTGGGACTAGAAACGCAACAATGTAAACCGAGCACGAAAATGGAAAACAGCAGGGGGGAGGGCTGATGGGATGGCAAGGGGAGGGAGAAATCTGCCCTCGTAGAAAAGACTATCAGGGTTGGAATAACGAAGACCCTCGCGGGACATAGATGCCGATGAAGGGGAAATGAATATGTAACAGGAAAGAATCACTCACATCACCAGAGTGTGGACAGAACTGACAAACGAAAAATTAACGCCTTAAATAGCGAGAGATACATATATTAGTCAGGAACCCAATACGATATGAAGGGACATGCCTGGATATCAGAGGTAGTGGGAAGTGCTAAACGAACGACTGCGCAATTGCACGTCCTAGAATGAAAATACCATCAGGCGCCTTGTATTTATGGAGAAGTGGAGGCGGTCGAGTATCTGGATCAACATGTTTCGAGGTGAACCCTGATGAGTTTATTCTCGGAAGGAAACAGGGAAATATCCCGGAATTTTGTATTCCTTATTACTCAACGCTTCTTCCCCTTCAAACTTCCATATCGCGGTCGCTTTTGATTGATGCAACTCGCAGTTCATCCTGGAGCGAATATGGACCAATAATACATCGGAAGTCACATCAATTCTCATCAGCCTTCGAATTTCAGACCCTCATACACGCGATAACCATGTGTCCGCAAATTCGGGGATTAATTTCGTCAGTGGATTCTGAATCTGTGTTCCCTAGAGACATAGTTGACCTCATGCTTTAGCTTTGAGTAGGAAAATCGGTCCAAATTGAGTGTTTGTACTGTATAGCGGATCATAGACCTCTGTCTGGCCTAATAAGCGGGCGAAAGACTCACCGATCCAAAGACTTGACACTGGACAACTTGATCCTCTTGATATAAATGACTTCAAGATTCTCAATGTTACAAAGTGGAGAGATTATACCTTTGATGAGGTTTTAAAAATACTCGGGCTCCTTATTCAAGACCGAGAAGACCGCCAGAGTCTGGACAGACTGGTCCGTAGGGGTGGCCTGGTCTTCGTTGAAAGGTAACGTTAAAAGATTTCACACCCGAACCCGAAAGCAAATGTAAAAGGAAAAGGGATGCAACATGACAGTTGTTGAAACCTAGTTGGAACGGGACGCGAGAACTTCCTTCATTGCTTGATCACCCGTCATTTCTCCTGAAGGCAACTTTTTCTCGACGGATCCGGGATGTTCGCTCAAGAGGATGCCAATTTTGAAGATGTCTGTGAGACAAGCGAGCTGAATGGGGTTGACTGGGAGTGCAGGAAGCAACATGAAACCGATGTCAATCGATACGCCCAGGCGAGCGGGCAGCGTAATGAGATCCGCAGATAATGCAGAAACTTAGCCTGGCGCCGGTAAAGCTTCGGTCTATATCGAGTCAATCAGTACTCAATGCAGTTGGTAGAATCGCATAGATGACGGAGAGATAATGCACATTGCAAGACGGGGAAGTCACACGTGTTGGACAAAGTATTATTCCAGATAAGCACTAGTGGATACACAGGGCTGCATGTCTGGTCATTGGAAGTGACTCATGGAAAGGAAATGAACTCACTATGTGAATACATGAACGTCATTCCAACTTCTCTAACTCCTCAAGCCTCGTTAATACGACGTCTTTACTCGTCTCCTCTACTTCTCCGGCAAGAAATATCTCGTCCAGTATGGCATAGACTTTGTAAAAGTTGAAAACGAGGTCGAGTTCGCAAACATTGTCAAAAAATGAATCTGTGTTTCATGTCAGTAATCTACGCCAACAATATTTGCAGGGTCAGCAAACCTAGGACTTCGACAAAAAGGTGTATTGCTTCAAGATAAGCAAGCTCATTATCGTTGGCTTCCACGCAGACACAAAAGAAGAGACCGGCATATCTTCTGTAAACAACTTTGTAGTTCCGGAACTGCAGCTCCACCATCAATTATAGCTCTGTTGAAACGAAGACACAGGCTAACCTCAACAAAGTTGGACTGGTATTTCTGATCTCTTGGAGCCACTAGCCGATGAACTTCCCCTCGAAGGCGGACCTAAATTCGAGCATTAAATGACATTCCCCGTTTTACGATCACCAATTGACCTTCTCATCGTCATCATAGGGTACATACCACTTCGAAAGTCGAGTTTTGCCCTGTCTATTCTGCAGCACTGACACTCAGCTTCTACCAAGTCTTCGGAAACGAGCGTGTTACCTGTACGAGGATAAACCTGATCATCGACGTCGTTAGCCAATAGGTGTGCGCTTGATTATGCAACAATGATTATGCAACCATTCCTCAATTTAATAATTCCCACACTCGCGACGCGACGCGAAACCGACTCTATACGTAAATGCGGCGACATGTAAGATACTCCCAGTTCAGTTTCGACGCATATCACGTGCTGGTCACAGCTGTGACCCCGCCAAAATCTCAAGGTGCAACGAATTGGTCTTTCGAGTAGTTTTCATTTGAGTTATGCAAAAATTAAAACACGGGCACTGTTAACCTACTGCTTAAAGACAATATCAGATTTTCTGAGATTTTATAGTGAAGAATTCAGAGATGAGATAGCATTCTAGCAAGAGTGTCTAAACTAAGCGCCAAGTCCTTAATGGTCCTCGGTTCATATTTTTGTACATTGACTGCACTTTTCTCATCATCCCCAGCTGTAAATCATGCTTGAATGAGCAATGTTTTATTATGAATAACCTGGGTGATTCATCCATTCTGAGAGTGGAATAACTTCAACAAGAAACAAGATGCATACCATGGACAAGCCACAAAACTGTGCTGAAATGATGAGTATTTTGCTCTACAGGCATCTATGCACATCTCTTACTACAAAATACAATACAAAGTCCTCAAGTGCTGTTGTTCTTGACTTTTGAGTTTTTTCAAGAATGTTGAGATTCATCAAAAATGGTGAATTTTGTGATTTCGCACACCATAAAGCTATAGGCTTTCTCAATTATGGATATAAGACTTAGATTTTCTGGGTAGGTCTACCTACGAGGGTACTCAACAGGGCCCGTGTTCTCAATAGACTGTATTGGGGCTGGGTGTTGAGATAAAAAGTGCTCAAGGATTGTCACTCTGAAAGTCACTGAAAAGCACATGACGTGCGTCGAAACTGAACTGGGAGTATCTTACTTTCATCTAGTTGTCTACTCTTGTTACAGCCACTGAATTCGAAACGGTACATATACAATGATCATCACTTATTAATACTGCTAAAAACCTTTACAATTCGGAGTTTTTGGTCGCGCTAGAAACTTAGACTTGTATACTTGATAGGGAAAAGAGGCCGAGATGGAGAAAACCGCCTTGATAGGCCTTGATACCAGCTGATACCCTGGCCCATGATTTTGAGATTCGGGTTAGTACCGTAGTTCGCCTCGCAGGATGGTCGTTACTAAGTTATTCAGGAGGGCCCAGTATGAAGAATTCCTACGCCTTGGGACGTCGTTCAAGTTGAAGGATCTGCTTATTTCGGTACTCTCCCGACACGTGTTTTCCACAATCATTGACAGAAAGAAAGAGGGAAGGGTCAGGCCTTGGCTATCACTCTGGAAGCCCTGTGGAAGCCAGTGAAAGGCTTGTATTTATCCGCATATGTACCAAGCGGGTGCTACTTTGGCAACGACGCAGGAGCTTTAGAGCCTTATTTCTTGTGCCTGACTTCAATCTCTGCATCTATGGTTTGTCCGAGTTCGGTCTACGATGAAGACAACGGGCGCTTGCTTGTACTTGTGCGTTTATCTTATCTCCAGTTCGAATCTCGGAACAATGTTCACGCCCTTTAATCTGGTACAATCCGGAAAATAACTACCTGTCAGTGCATATGATTCGGTCTTCCTTCGACTTTACTCGGAAAGCCATGTGTAAACCTGACGATGGAGACTAAAAACTCATGAAGACTGTGATTGCAATACAAGGAGGTCGAGGGCATTAGTACATATTGGCCTAACACACTGGGTTCGCCATGCATCTCGCCGTGGTCTTATTCTTGTATCTTCGATCTCACTCAAATATTCAGCAAGGCTAAAGAGTCGGAGCAACTCTATCACACCGTATGGTTATCAATTTACATGCTCGACATGTATATCCTATCTTCACCTCTCCTTCTCACACCTTACTTCCTCAGTGTCCTTGATTTAAAGATTCGCATCTTTGGTCCTTCAAATAATGGCTTTCGCTTTGGAAGTTTTGATTTTGAATTAAATGACGGAGCCTAAATGGAAGGTCCCGTAGGATATGGAGAAGCTCGATGGGATACCATAGCCCCTCTGCATTGACAAGGAGAGCATCCTCGTAAGAAATCTCAGCGTTCGAGAAACAGTAAATTATCTATCAACGGCCTCTGCTGGCTATCAAAGGCCACGCCAGTCCATTTTTACGACAGCCGCCCCAGAAGAATTCTTGCCGCTGATATGCGAGGAGGAAAAGAAGGAGGACACGCGATCACACTTTATAGGAAAGGAAAGGAAAACCGACACCCCATTGAGGAACAGCCGGGGTCCATGCTACACACATTGCGCTAGATGCGACATGGATGTACATAACCAACAATGCTTGTGCCTCACATACCATTAGGGCATGACATTTATCCTCAACAGCCCCTTTACAAAAACGGCAGAGCCTCCACACCCGAGGAATTGGAGAGCGATACCGCTCTTCATACCGCAAGTGTGTACGTGATACCACTTTTCGCAAAAATATTCGGGACAAAAACAAACAGATGATTTCAGTTTGAGAAACTCGACCATTGAGATTTTCTCGAAGGCTTCCACTGCATCTACCCGATCGAATGCACGACAATGGCGATCCGGTCGTCGATAACGACACTTCTTCTGAAAAAAAAGGCTTTCGATGGGAAGTCGTTGGAACCAGCGGGAACCGATGGTAACTTCGACAGACTAGAATTCGGATACTTCGATATCTCTCTCTATGCAACCGAAGATCCAAAGAAAAAACCTTCTGTAACAGTTGAGCAACTTCGACTCAATACTCACTTGATCTTTGCCTTTGGCAGCGTCTTTCGAAGAGGGACTTCTTTAGACATTTGTATCACCATATTTTTCTCGAAATGTACCACAATGCCTCGGGAATGTGATCGGGCTCTGCGGACGGCTGCTTTAGCCAACATCGTGCTCATAATGGGACTGAGATTTCGAGCTCGAAGATCGTCACCTTGCAGCTGCCAGCCTCTGCCAGCCCAGAACCCCCCTCTGATCGACCAGGCAAGATCTTCGATCCAGAGATCTTGCATATTGCCTCCTGAATACTAAGATTGACACTCCCGGGATTGACGATCTTGTAAAAGATATTTTCCGCAGGTCGAACTTCCCGCTTCGAGTGAGCTTGCTGGATGTCTCCCGGACCTTGAATATACTGAACATGAAGAAGACGACGAATCCAGTCGTCAATCTCGACCAGCTCTCGACCAGTATCGGCGTCTCCTCATTTGATGTCCCTTGCTTCGACCTCTTCCCTCAATCCAGTGATAGTCGGAACGTTGTCTACCGTTTCTCTGGGGGCTCAATCTGGATAGGTGTTCCTCCGTTGAATTTTTCCCCGCACTGACGGAGTGGAATCTCAGACGATCGAACCTCATATGATTGAATCTTCGCCCGAAACTCAGGACCTGCGTTCGACTCGGATGTTCGTTCATATTGTGTGTTCCCGTTCGCCGGATTCCCTACAATGAGGTCCAAATCGTGCCATTGAAAAAAGATTTTCCTAAGAGTTGAATTCAATGAGTGGGGTTCAATCGAGGAGGCCGGAGATCCTTATGGTCTTTAGTACACGAGCAACAGTGAAACGAGATGCATGGAATGGTACAGTTGTGCTCAGTACATACATGCACGGGTACTATAGATTCGCGACTCATTTTCATCGATTGTACCTTTCCGAAAGACTGGTTCTCCTACCAGGTTGTTGGAATACAAAATCCGTAGGCTTCAATACAAACACCTCCAACAGATAAGACATGATTCCGGGAACTACGTACCTTCCGATCTATAACTTGTAAACGATTGAAGCGAGCCCTTCAACGACCTCTTTGGCCAATAAGGCGTGAATCGTGATCTATTTAATAACCATGAGTATGAAGACAACGTACTAAGATATGTGAACTTCATATAAATATCCGTGCATTTACCATGCATAAAAACGGTGGTATACTGCTCTTATGTACAGAAGACTAGTGCTCCGACATTTGCGCGAGATAGTCAGACAGCTAGAATGTGATGATTTGAGACAAATGGAACTTTGGCAGCAACAAAACATTCCGCTGACCTTTAGCGCTCCATTTCGAATACTGTCTCCGACGTTTTGCACATCGGGATTGGCCATAACCCGTGACAAAGCATCCCGCGCAGCAAGCTCCAATCCGGCCAAGCTTCCATCTCCAAGCAAAGAGTCACTATTGCCTCGGCGCATCGCAAGCTCATCTTCATCGTCTCGGCCAAAGTACTGGCTGGAGGATATAGCAGATGCACCTTGAAAAGATTGTAGTCGATTTTGAGCCTCGGCTGCTGCCTGGGGATCATAAGAGTTTCGCCCAAAATACATGTCTGAGGAGATGCCTTTTTGATTGCCAAATTTATCACGAGCAGTCGTGGGTGCGTCGTCGACAGCATCCGAGGAGCTGCAGTTACATTGAAGTCCATTGGCGTTAATAGAGACGGAAGATGTACGTACTTGGATTTCGCCCCTTGCACTACTGCTGCTGCTGCACCTGCGCTAGGGATAGCACCGAAGCCGAATCGAGGAAATGAAGCGGACTTCGGTGTTTCAACCTTTTTGGCAGCACTAACAGAAGCGGAAACAGTCTTGTTGCCGATCTCTAAAGCTGCCATCTTCGCCTCAGCTTCTTTGCGGACCTTTTCCTCCTCTGCTTCGCGTTGACGGTCGTACCCGAGCTGTTTGATACGTTCGGCCTCCTCGCGAGCTTTGCGTTCCGCTTCCTCGAAATCGATGGGCTTCGCAGCCTTTGAAGCACCTAGCCCTAGTTTTGATTTTTTGGGTCCCGAACCGATACTTGTCGCAGAGTTGAGCCTGGTAGCACCTATTTTGCCAGTACGAGCTGCTGCCGATGATGTGGTCGTACGAGGAGCTGGCGCAGTAATCGATGTGGAAGACGATGCGGGGGTAACAGGGGACGGTGTACGACCAAGGATGGGAGGAGTGGAGATTCGAGGGGTAGAAGGTGCCGAGGGTTTCGGTGTGGATGGCTTCGACCATGATTCGAAAAAATCATCTTCAGTGTTCTCTTTAGGCGCTACGGGTGTCTCTATGCCTTCAACGAATATACCCTGCGGGAATCTGGCCATCAAGTTCAATCTTCAACAAAGGAAGGATTGGAATACAATACACATACTTAGCAGTGTCCTCTCTCACTCGTTTCGCTAATTCCTCCTTGTAAAGCTCAGCAACGCGACTAGAATACTTCTTTTTCGTATCAGCGTCGTTTAACAGTGACTGACCGCCGTGCTTAGTGAAAAAGTCCGTTGCAGACTGATTCCCGCCAACTTTCATGTTCCGTAACTGGGCGAGCTGCCAAGAGTCGAGATTTGTTGATCTGTACGTGGGATGTTAAATCATATGGATGAGATTGAGTACAAGATACGCACCGAACGAAAGATATATGTACGCCCATGTTTCGGTGGACACTCGAGCAGTCCAGGCAGATATAGACACCATAAGTAACGCTAGACCAGGCTGGATTGCGGGCATTACAGTCAAAGCAGGTCTAATCAAGTACATCAACATCAAGACCTATATTTTGACGGACTCGTACGCACTTTGTTGGCCTTTTGAGCTTTGAGAACTTTGAAGACCTGTTCAGTTTCTTGTTTGGTAGGTTCTGCCATATCTGCGAAAAGTTGATAATGAGAACTTCAGATGAATGGGTGGGTGTTCGTGACGCGACAAACAAGACCACATTGGCGCTAAATATCTGTTTAAGCGCTTTTGCCCTGACTTAGTGGTTCCTCAGAATCCTTTTACATCAGGTCCTTCGTTCCTCTAATGCTCCTATTTTGGTGTAAGCTAATCCTTCAAGCTTCAGACTTCAGACTTCAGACTTCAATTGTTGGCTCTACAAACTATACCAGATATAGAGCCACAGCCACTCATAGATCTAGAAGCCTCAGCTATCCGGAATCCCTGGCCAAATATTCGTTTGAGTCGTCCTGCGGTCATACGCGCCTGGATATTTTAAGCTTTAGGATATCAAACGACTTGAGTTTGGCTGCAGCTGATCATAGGCAAGTTGATAACGAACAAGGTTCAGAGTCTCAAGTGCTTTATTGCGCTCATCAGCGTCACATTCTCGTCACATTAACAGCATTCCTTCGATCTTTGTCGGTGTCTCCTAAGGCCCGTAAAGCTGTGATACCAGAGAAGCAAGATTCGCGATAATAGGTAATACCCAGGCTTTTCCTACATTTCTCAGAGATTTGTAGCGCATGATTTCGGCGACGCTCTATTCCACTTCTGGCTAACCACTGGCACGCCATTGCATTCAAAATTGTCAGAAACCTATGTGACTAGTGGCAAACCAAATCTTCGATTCTCCTTCGGGGTCTTTCCCAAGTTTCCTTATGCCCCACGATTGAAACGACATTTGCTTACTACACGACAGATCTCTCAATTGCAAGAGAAGAGCAGCTCCCGTGTTATCGACATAATCCCTTGCCGTCTACCACATAGTATGGGTACCCTGGAATGAGTGGAATCATAAAATTCAAACAATTATGTGTAGACTTCGGAAGCCTACATAATTGTTGGTGTGAGACCGGGTGGGTTTTTTTTACCTCTGCGCCCGAAGTTCTCAACTTGAAATCTTTGGGTAAAGTTGAGTTTTATGGTGACCATTTACTGCCAAGGGTAAAATGAGCTTCAGTTTGGTTCCAAGGTTTTGCTATTGTTGTGCCTGTGAATTTCGCGAGGAAAAAAAGAATATGCTCTAGGGAAACGTAAAAAGTTCAGCAACATCGAATAGTGTCACGATTCTATCCAACAGAATGTGAATATATGCGTGTATCAGTTGTACCAGTTCCACAAGTTTCACAGGACCGCGGAGCAAGACAACCCGTGAAGCGCATAATCATCCCTTTATAGGGGTTATCAGTTTACTCTAAGATAAGATAAAATCAAAGCAACCACCAACAAGGTAAAGCTGATCAAATCGTTTCAAGTCCAGTCTGTAGGATCCCCATTGAGCATCGTATAAGCGTTATCATTCGGTATTTCTTGCTTATCCAATCGATTGAACGCAAAATGGACGCGCAAGGTGAGTGCCAATGTTAAAGACCTGAAACTGGGACTGGACCACAAATATTAGTACTTTTAGCTACTCTCCCACTAAAATTCGAGCGTATAGCTGTCGAGCGAACGCTTCCGTTGCGACACGAGGTACTCTGGCCCGACATGCCTATCGACAAAGTCAAACTCCCGGAGGACCAGAATGGATGGCATTTCGGAGCATTCATGGACAACCCTTTGGCAAATGATGATCCTATCGCCGTTATTTCTCTTTTCTTGGACCCCATCCCCATCGATCATGTTGCTGCTCATTCCGCTTGTGGCAGTAGTGCTTTTTGGGACAATGGCTCAATTACTGGGCCCTCCGAGATAATCACAGTGCGTTTTCGGAAATTTGCATGCAAGACAACTATGCAAGGTCAAGGTGTCGGAACAGCGTTGTTTAAACATGCAATGCATTTTGCCCATTCAGAATTAAAGGCGGAGGTTTTCTGGTGTGATGCTAGAGTTTCTTCCGTAGCGTGGTATTCGGGGCGAGGTCTATCACAGTTTGGTCACAAGTTTTACAAGGGAGCTGTTGAGTATGTGCGCATGAGAGTCAGGCTTTCAGAGACCAGCCCTCGCTCAGGCTGAGTGATAGCTAGTGTGCGCTGGGTTGATGAGATAGGTAAGTCTCCCCTGAAATATCGTTGGATGGGCTCGTGGATACAGATAACACGGCACAGAATAAACGGCGCATGTCCATTTGGACGGAATTGTATAATGGGCGTATCCGTAGTAAAGGTGATGTCCGGAAGGTGAACGTCATGAACAGCTCTCATGAAGGCCCCTGTCGTGATGAAGGCTTAGACCTTCGTTTTCTGGATCTGGATTGCCACGCAAATACAATCAGTTCATTTTTCGCTACCTAAATACAGCCTAAACCTAAACAACACAGTATGCCCGGAAGTCCCACATATGCCAAAACAATACAGATCCTTTCTGACTTTTGCAACATTGAGATGCACGACATAGTTTGAGATCAATGGTGACGTTGCCTGCATGCTGAACGTCCCGATAAGCCAATGTCATTGTTTTTTTCTTTCATTTTCGCTGACTTTAGATTTTGGTGATGAAACATTTTGTCTGAGACTGCTTCCATGATCCGAAGACTTGGCCGACGCGTACGTAGGACATGGTTGAACATATATACTCCGGTCGTGTGTATGGCCTTACTCTGCGTTGCACCAGTGAAAGGCATGAGTATCGTCCCGCGGTGCTTCAGCACGATAAATTATCCATCATATCGATAACAAACTACGTTTCGTTACATCAATTCAAGGGCGTTGGGTCAAAAGTAAGTTGATACTAAAATGCAGTGGCAATAAATCTCGAGTTATTTAGGAAAGATCATGTAGTTCCTTCCGGGGACTTCCAAAACGCAGGAAACATATAAAAGCAGGCATTCAAAACACGCTGAATGCAACAATGGCAGCGCTAGCATTCCCCTTCCATACTAATTACGCCAACTCTTCTCATAGTACTGGATTTTTTGTGTTCCATCGCTCCACTTAACTATCTTGCTATGTCACAAAGACTTCATCTGTGCTCTCTACCACTTGGTTCAGGGTGCTAGAGCCTCTGTTCATAGCCAAAATAGTTGGTGGAGCGTTGCCACCACCATATTCTAGTACATGAATTTGACGCTACCTCCGATGCTCTGTCCCGTTATCAGACATTATTTCTGTGCTCACCACACGAGGCCTTACTGTCTCGCCACGTCGTTCTAGGTCGGAAAAACATTCAACAGTTCAAATGATGGGCTTCAAATTTTACGGACCTCTAGCTATAAGAGTACATTATGTGGAGATTAGTTGAGATTAAGTAAATAACTGTACGCGGAGAAAGCTGGCTATCATTCGTATAACACTGACAGTAGTCGCTGTATCACGGAGGAACATCGAGTCTGGACATTCGCTAAAGATTTCAAGCAGCGTTGATTGGAAAAAAAGGAAATTGGGAACACAGTATATATTCTGCATCTGTCAAGTAGCTACCATCATGAATCATAATGTAGTATATAAAATGCATCGTCCAATGAACCACGTCGTTAAATAGGCAGAGCTTTCTGCGACTTCCGCCATGTCCCCAGATATTGAAACTAGAAGCGGCAGAGATGAGATCGAAACGACTTCAAGGACAATAGAGACGGGAGGGATGGAAGTCTACTTCAGAACCGCTTCCGTGCAATACACAATTGCATGTACAACTTGAAGGATATGGATGTATCATTTTAAGTCTGCAGTCAGAGGAAAGTGGCCTGATTCCTCAGCAACTAAGCCACTATACTCTTGAGCTTGGGAATGTTGGAGAGCACCTCGATTGCGCCTCTGCGCCTGAGGCAATTCTACAGATTTCGAGATTTTGGCACACTTGAAAAGCACCGTTGATCGGGACAATTGCTTTAAGTTCCATGGTCACGCGGGTTCAATAAATTACTCTTAGGGAAGGCCAGAACCCTTTGAAAGCTGGTCAGTTGACAACACCGACAGACACTGGCTTTACCTTGGGAGGAGCGATATGCAAAGGGTAATACAATTTCCTGTACCGATGCGATTGGTTAAACGATAGATTAAATTAAAAGTCGAGAGGTAAAGTTTTCCAAACTCAGGAATTTGAGTTTAGGCGGTCCAGTCTCTTGTGGAAGAAGCATGTGTCGATAGTGTTGTTGAAAAGGTTTAAGATATTAGAGGTAATAAATGGATGCCCAGGCATCTTGTCATGAGGAGTCTACGAGGGTCAGATATGGGGATATGATATGAATTCAGGTTCACGGAACAGAAACGATACACAGTATGACTATGACTTGAGCAATTCTTCGACGACTCTGTCCTCCGATATTTGTGCCACATTAGCTCCGCGATAATTCAATCTCCTGAGAACGTCGATCTACAGAAAATGGTATAAGCCTGCAGAGTCGAATAATCGAAGGGACAGGGAAAGAACGAGCACGGAACCACAAGAGTCAAATATACGACTCACCACTTTATTCCTTGGGAATCCGAGACCTTCAAACTGGTCTACATGCGCATTTTCCAATCCCGCAATTGCCACTTCGTCTCTGATACTTTTTGAGCCCTTGGGATCCTTTGCCCCCGGCCCTCCAGCATATATATGAGTCCAGTACCGGGCTGTTTCCTCAAAGCTGCCTTTACTCGTGGTATAGTGTTTTGCCACTTCTGCATCTTGTGGATCATTCGGCTCAGGCGAGCAGAGCAAACTCTGCAGCGAGATCAAAGTGGATTTGAGTGTAAGGACCGGAGACCAGGCATCCTTGAGAATATCCAGGCAAATTGCACCAGATGCAGAAGACACGTTGGGGTGATAGACCTTGGTAATGAATTTCATCTTGACCGGTTGAAAAGGGTATGAGTCTGGGATGATAATATCCTGATGAACATGATCCAACGTTATTGTCCAGAGATCAGGTGGCGATCTGTAAAATACTCACCACCTCAAAGTGGCCTCCTTGATATGGTGTATCCTCTGGGCCAGGAAAAGAGCCTCTCAGATGAAACGGGGAGTTATCAATGAGCTCCAAAGAGATGTTAGAGGTTCTGTCATTCTTGCAATCTTAGAAATTGTTGATATCATGGTTCGAACGACATTTAGAGCTTGAAAATGCGCACCAGCAATTTCCTTGTTTACACGACGAAGACGGGCGTCCATTTACACAAGATCTAAGGAGAAAGTATAAGCAGTCAAGAAATCAGACGTAAGACGTGAAAGCGCATGGAATGGGTGTGGATGTACGCAATTATTTAGGAGCTTAATAAGCTATCGGACCGAAACCTAAGGCGTTTGTTCTTGGCGCTTAAGCATACCAAATATGTAGTTTCATGCATTAGCCTATGCCAGATTTCCTGATTCTGTGAGCTCTTAGATACTGCAGGTGGTCAATTGTACGATTTGTAAAACGAGTGGTTATACGATGAAGACTCGAACGACTATGATAATGTAGGAGTGAGATTCAGAAGGCAAATTCATTCAACAGTACTGTATTCAGCGCTTTACAAGTGTGTGGACATCGATCGGCAAATATATAATCAGAGCAATCATCCACTCCAGACAGCAGGGCCAGCTGTTTTCGAGAATCGTAAACATGAAGTTGAAGGTATTGAGTCTAGCACTTACGAGCTTGGTATCCAGCGTATCCAGCAGGCAACGCATAAATGTCTTTGGAGTGAAGTGAATAAATCAACTTTTTCGACTTGTAAACTTGCGAGAAAGACGTACTAATTAGAATACCAGGGTCGGTGGCAGAATAAGCACCTTTTTAGCGTTGAGTATAAGTATTCGCGGTGGGCCCTTGAGCAAATAATACGCAGCCTACCTGGGAAAGCGACCGTAGGACCCGGAGTGCCATCACCTCCGTCCACAACGTTGATTTGTGCACATCCGATGTAAAACTAACAAAAGTGACGGACAAGCAATCAGTGGTGTGAGCGGCTACGATATTGATCAGAGCCTGGAGGGCATAAGTACCTGTGCACCACCGACAGTACTTGCAACGTGCAAGGCAATTTGTTCACCTCGGAGAAGGTATTGTCTTCGCGAATGCAAAACTCAATTAAAGTCATGGCCAGTAAATTTACATAGGCGGCGAACTCACCCGCTTGGAGTTGATTTAGGAATAGTAAACGTAAATTGAACCTCATCTACAGAGGATGTGGTTGAAACTGATGCACTGGTGAAACAAACAAATTCTACGCACTCTGAGTAGGGAAGGTCATTCCTGTCGCAGCGGAGTATTGGGGATTCGCTTCCCAAATCTTGAACCAAGTCGAATTCAAGCCCGCACTGTTTGAGTTTGCTGCTGGGACTGCGGGGCTCATGTATGCAGAAAGGTACTGTGTTCTTGGAAATCAGACAAGAGAAGGAACGGCAATGAAATATTCCGCACCCCTGGATGGTACAGGTCGATATTGGGCTGGAACCCAACAGTTGAACCAGCTGCGACAGTAGCAATACCAGCAGCACCAGCAGAAGTTGAATCGAGCTCATAGCATCGTATGGCGTCACTAGTCACATCAGTAACCTGTATACGAATGCACACAATAATGAGGATGTATCAAATAGATAGGACTTGCCTCACTTACTGGGTCGTTGGTGTAATGATTCGCAGTCTCCCGCACATATTGCCAGTCAGAGGTGACGGTCCCATTGACAATAAGGTCAGGGAATGTGTCTGCAGTGCATTGAGGAAGTAAATCACCAAACCCTACTAACAAGTGGGGAACATACAGTGAGCCAAACCGACGTGAATAGCTCTCAGAGCTATAACGCTAAAAAGAGCTAGTCGAGAGAAAGACATCTTTGAAGATTTATTTTACATCTCGTTTCAGTGCGGTTCAAATACCTCTCCTCCTTGGAGTAATGACCAAAGCAGTCAAGTCTCGCCGGAGTCATCCCAATATTCTTAGTAGGATGAGGCGGAATTTCGGTTAAAAATAAAAATCGAGGCGTTAATTCTATCTGGAGTGACTATTTCGATCTGAAGAACGAGTAATCAAGTGCTAGAAATATCAATTGATTATACTCGTATGACCTTTTACACTCCCTGGACCATCGCGAGCACCCAGTTGGAAATAGTATATCGATATCGCAATCTTCGTTCTGTTCTTATCCACCCGAAACGGCTCCGAGAATCACAGTACAACAAAGCCGAACCCTCACCGACGTTGGACCGTTGAATGCCAGCACATGGGAATCAAAGGAAAGAATTCGGAGCAAACCTTCATTATCTTTTGCGACTCGACTTCATCAAGAACGAAGAATACGGTCAAGAACATTCTCTTGAAGACCTCCACGAATTTTTTAAAACTATGCAGGCGAACGCTTTGTGTTGTCCATGGGAATATACGCATTGGCATGGATGAATTTTATTTCAAGTGGGAGTCTTACCCATTACAGTGACAGATTATTCCTCTTTGCCACTCAATCTCCGAATCTCTTCTAATCCTTCGTCATATGTCCAAAATATATCTGGGGAATCTAGTTGCAAATTCGGGGCTTGTTGTAAATCCTCTTCATCCCTTGTAAGGAGTGATTTCCTCTTTCGCTCTGAACGCCTCTTATTGGGCTTGATCTTTTCTTTCTCCGTTTGTGCTTTATGTAAGTTACTGCTTTCACCACTCACGTTTGCATGTGAAAGTACACCTTCATCACTCAACCCATCCAGGAACCCCGTCTTCACCCTTTTCATTTCGTTCCTCCAATTTTCCACTTCCGTACTTCCTTCCCACATTACCTTTTCTATGATATGTCTCATCAGACCCCTGACCACCACCCACGCCTGACTCGCGCCCAAGACGAGGAGAAGGACGGTGAACGCTAACTCACGCCACGCAGCAGCATCGGCAGAATCCCAAACTGCGTCCGAGAGAGCGATAGATATCATTTCAATAGGGGTGCCCGTGTCCTCGGTAAGGTCAAACAGATATCCACATTTCCCTCGTTCGTCGGTTTGCGAACTTGGACAAAATAGCCCAACCAATATGACATTGACAATTGCACTTCCCCACCCAAGGAATTCCAGCACGTCTAACCACGGCCCGATACTCTCCGTTCTCTCGGGAATCGGTCTCCGCTCATGATTCGCTATCCGAAAAGCGTCTTTACGCATTTCCAGTACATTATTGAGGAGCGCGAAGAATGGTGCAAGGGGAAAGATTGTGGACCATAGAACGATATATCCAAACTGAATCACCATTTCAGAGTAATCAGTGGAGAGGTTGGATGGCGTTGAGGGAAGCGTTGATTCATGCAGGGCTCGAGTAAGCAGGGAATCTTCCGCGCTGCGTTGAAGAGACAAGGAAGTTGAAAAGGATCTGAGGTGGGCGAACGCTGTCGCAAATGGGCTTTTAGGTGTTTGCGGGATTGCTGATTCCCTGAACGGGCTTATGGGTGAATCCGGGGGTGACTCCATAGTTGGGGATTCACATAATTCTTCGGAAAGCAGATTGTCAGATTGTTTTCTCCATATCAACTCCAGTATAATGTGCCAGATCTTCATAGCGTAAGGCCATCCTATTTCGCTTGCACTGTCGACAATTTGGTTGGTAACAGTGTATGCAAACATTTGTTCCTCTAGCCGCGAGCGATCCAGCATCAAGTGTGTCCTTCCTTCGTACACAATCGAGTCGAATGTGCCGGATGTGTTTCGGCCAAACCACTTTAAGGCTACCGCAACCATCGCGTCACCAAAAGGCACGTAAACAAGGGCCGTTAGAGTGAGACTGAGGTAAGCAACGAGGGCGGTGAAAATGAATGTTTTCAATGTGACGGACGCGTCGTGAGTAGAGTGATGGGTATGGTTCTCCCATGTAGCAAAGCGCTCAGCGCAAGATTGAAAGAACGAGATGAGATGAGGAACCAAGATGGCATAGATAATCGTTGGGGTAAACGTCTGTAGATGCAATATGAGTAGAGAAGTGTCCCTTGAAAACAAAAATACTCACAACGTAGTTCCGCCCTGGACCTGTATAGAAATGCTCGCAGAACTCTTCCAGAAAGAATATTCCCGTCATCAACACAGCTAATAGCACCGCAAAACTTAAAATAACTGGCACACTGGCTAGTATCCTTATTTCCCGCGTCCATGTCGAGATATCTTTGTATCTGTTCTGTACTCTGGCTTTCTCGACTCTCGTAGAACCACGAACACCATACCTCAGAGCTATACGACGCTCTTTCACGCGCCACCACTCCACGAAACCAATGCCCCATACAGACGTGAGAAGAGAGTATATTGGCGAGTATGGCGCTCCGATACCCCAGAAAATGACACCGAAGGCTGCAGGGACAGCTAATGCACGCGTATAGGACTGAATAAAGATGAAATACAAGGAAAATGCGTCGCCAAAATGGGCTCGAATTTGTTCTTGTGGGACAGAAGCGGTGCTAAGCCAGTTCGAAGCCCATGAGTGTACCCAGAGCTCGTTGAATACACGGTCATGAAGGCAAAAGACTGTTTGGATCAAATCCCAGCGGGGAATGTCTGGATGGATGCCGAGACCACCATCAGAATTGGCAGACGTGATATATGAGTGGACCAGTCGAATCCGTTCAGAAGGCAAAATAGTGTGGTCAGGAATGGGTATTACTGGCAGACCGGAAAGAAAATCTGATTTACTGTAAAATTCATTCATCAAAAAACTATTTTGTACTTGTTTATACACTCACCGTTCTTTGTGAACCAACACCCGCAAGAACGCTTCAGGACATGAAACAAACACTAAAATTTGCGCATCCGAATCTCCTCGCCGCCCAACAGCTCTCAAGCCACCGTTTCGAAGGGTCCTGAGAAGCGAAGCATATCTTTCCTGGGTAAGTACTATGCTTTCTTTTCGAACTTGAACAGAAATAATGACATCGACGCCGGCGTCAACATCGAAGATCTTGGGCATAACAAAGAGTATGATCCAGAATTTTCAATCGAAAAACCGCTTGCGAAGGGACTGCTAAGTAGTAGTAATAGCTGGTTTTGGGACTTTCAAGGATTAAATTTACTCATCATTGTATGTACGTCTGATGTACGTTATAATAAGCTGGAGCGCTCATTTGCTTGTGGGCGCCCGGAATGCCCAACGACATCAGACACCAGATAACAAAGAGCAGCCATTACCAAGTCGTATAAGACTTTCAACGTTTCAATGCTTCTTCGTCGTCCGTGAGATGGACAATACTGGACAATATGTATGTTCCTGCAATATTTCTTGCATCTCGGGTGACCCAACACTTTCAGTTTACTGTGGCTCGGCCTGTCCCCGCTTGAAGTCTGAAGCTGACTGGTCGAAATTGAATCCAATTAGATGGTCCCGCATACATATCTATAAAATAGGTGAGCACGAATTATAAGCTATATATATCTATTTTTGGGAGCTGTTAGTAAAGGAGGGCAAAACACTGAACATTCAGAACTGCGAGCACTGTCAAGCGTGGATCACAGAACACCGTTCACAAGAGCTGAATGGGCCAGGAGTCACTAGAATTGCAGAAGAGAATAAAGTTGAAGGGTCTCTTCAAGATGAGGGCTTTTTCGTAAGCCTTTGGTCTGGCCATGCTCACGTTGGGGTAATCCTGGATAATTGTATTTGATTTAGAGTTGCAAAGCCTTCTTAATTATACCCATCGTATTGCCACAAGGTGAAGCCCAATACAAATTGGATCAATGGCAGGCTGGTAAGTACACGTCGCAGGCTCGCACTGGGTCGTACCATCGTTCGGAAACACCCTAATATGTTATCATTGTAGGTATTTTTTTTATTGAATGCCTGCGATAGTCAAGCTGATACTGACATATAGCGACATCATTTTCGGACGTCCATTGTCTGGAAATCTGAATGATCAACCCTCTAGCTTTGATTTCATTTCTCGCTCCAATCAACCAAAATACCTTGTGCACGACATGCTTCAAACACCGCAAGAAATTCAAAAAAAATGAGGTTTTCGAGGAGATGTAGGAGGGCGTGCGATTAGCATGTTTGATCTTGAGACTCGGAAACGTTCTCCAAAAAGGATTTGGAATAAAACATCACTGTTCTATTCGACTTACTGCTGAGAAACACTATGTCTTTGTCTAAAATATCCTTCGAGAGTGCCTCCCATTTCACGATCCAGGGGTCTGAGATCAACAACGTCGGTCGGGACCACATTGTTATCACAAACAACAACTACCACCAACATCATGATGAATATCTAATCAATCTCATTGCGGGGAAGCGGGTTCGTTATCTCATGCACTCCAGCGTTTGAAGTGTCTTGAAGTGTCATCTTTTCTCATCTATTCATAGTTTCGCTCAATTCCCTTCGGAGACGTCTTCTTACTAGGTACAATGGCACGGGTCACATATGGTTCACAAGGATCTGTGAAGGTCGTACGATCGTTCCACCCTGCTAGAGTGACTGGGCTAGGAGATAACACCCCCTTCACTGTCGTGACTTACAAAGGTCCTCATGCTAACGAGGTATTTGTATCTCCATCTGTGCGGCCTCAGCTCATGTACAAACGTTTCATCATTGTGCTATAGGCTTTCAGAAATGACGTTCTCCAATACTCAAGATTGCGGTAAGCGTTGGACAGGGTTCTTGCAACTTTAAAATTTGATGCTGAGAATTTTGAAGACATCCCAATTTGGCCCAGTTGTTTGGAATCCTTCAGTGTGATCCGTCACTCGAAGGAATGTTACTTCATTCTGGTAGGGCAATGATCTTGAAACCCTCGTATATGAGTCGCTCATGGTAATATTTGTACAGCGCTAGTTCCATTACAGCACTTCGCCGGACTGTGTGCATCCGATCCTTTCGCGTTCACATACCTCAAATATCGCTACGTGAGTTTGCAAATTGTATCTTCAACGCGTTTCACAGATCTTCACGGGACTCAGTTGGTAGACTCTGTGGCAGCCGCCAGAACAACGGAGGTAATGTCTTACTCCAATGCGAAAAAGACGTCTTCACTTACCAACTAATCAAAGTCAATGCACCGATACATACCACCAGAACAATATTGGATGCAACCTACATCTGGGTTGATATGCATGGGTCCACTTGGTCCATTATACGAGTCTCCTAGGAAATACGAAAATATCTACGCTCTTTGGCCACGCGATTCCGATTATTTTCAACCCACGACCATTCCTCAGCTTGATTTTCAAAATTATACTTCGTATGAAAATGTCATAAGTCACATCGAGCAGCATTTCGACACTTTTGAGACTTTTGTGGGGTCGCACCTTGGTAGCAAATCAGTGGAAGTATTGTTTGCTAAAGGGAATCCTCTTTGGTTGTCCTTCGGATCAGTAATTAGCGTTTCTGAGGACGATGATTGTGGTGTGAGCATCTCGATAGATCTCGATCCGCATTCGCTCGTCACTAATTTCTGTCACAGCTTACTTTGAAATCCCCAAAACTGCTCGCTCAAGCTTGTCTTGAGGATACTACTGCTTACTCGATTGGAAGATGGACCAGTCTCTATCATGATGATGTATTGATGAGTATCAACCAAGACAACGGATGGACTCGGTACTACCTTTGCCTTCATCCTTTCTATCAAACTCTTAAATTCGTCCTTAAAATGCGCAGAGTAGTGTATTCCCCTTGTCAAGATTTCTATCCCTCCTATTTTCACATTGACTTGGAAGCACATATCAAGAACAATGACCTGGAAGCTGCTTGGCTAGCACAATCTGGTTATATTTTGCAGCACAACAAATCAGACAGATATGGTGAATTCCAAGAGATTTCTTCGGAGAGAGGATTTTATCACTCAAACATGGACCATGAACGCAGTGTTTATAGGCTCCAAGATGCGGATGATACTGCAAATATCTGGCTCCAGCCCAATTCCTACTCCGTGTCCTTCCCAATGTGCTTATCTTTTCATTGCTCCTCTGAAGATAGGCGGATCAAGACATGTCTCCTTCGACGAAACACCGTATTTCTGGTCTCTAGACTCATCTGGGTCCCAACGAATGTCTCAAAAATCACACGAGCAACTAGGGCTTCCTGCATTCGAGATAGGCATTTACGAAGGAAGGCATTGTTCTGAAATAGAGCACTGTGCGATCTCTCGATATTTGAAGTACAAGGGATTCGATCCTTTGGAGTTGGATTATGCTCGAGCCCAAGGATATCTAGCCTTCGAGGTGATGGGAGATCCAACTAAAGATCAAAGTTCCGCAGTTATCGAGGCTCTGTCCGATGGTAGGTTATATAACCTCGTCTAAACACCGTCCATTTTATAGCTCGGGCTTTATATCAGCTCCAATGGAGACTATCTCTACCTTGGAAGACTCTGAGCCTGATCCAGAAGATTGGGAGCTTGTCAGCATTTCCGAAGGGTTCAACCACGATGGTGAGAGCTATGTATCGTCTTATCATGTCTGATAAGCTCAGAAGAAATCTTTTTCAAAAGACGACGACGATTGGGACTTAATGGAACGGCCCAAGATAAGTAGCTTCAAGCTGTTGAGTCATATGAAACTCACTTGGGTATCGAAAACTGTGTATGCTTCAAGAGCGAGATTTGATGAGAAGAAGAGAAAAACTTTCAGGAGACTAGCGCGCGCCTATATGCAACCTTAACCTTATATGTTCCTAAATATTATTACGTCACCGACTCTGAAGGAGGAGGTCCTTGTAGGGATCAAACGGTTGTGTTTTGTGAGATCAGATTGCATTGATGCGAGGTTAATGCGTGATGTTATCATATGTATGTACCCGAAATACTGTATTGAATATAAAAGTTTCCCGAGTTCATACATGAACTAGGTTATCTGTCTGTCCGTTTACAGTTCACGAGTTCATATCCTAGTTGGGTGGTTTATCTGTCCACTACAGTGGACACCAATATACTATTTGGTTTATCTGTCTGTCCGACAGAAGTAACATTACCTGTTTTGTTTATTGATACGGCGGAAGATAGCATACAATATATATTTTTTCGACAGTTCTCGGGAATTATAGTAGTACCCGCTTTTCATCCGCATTGATGTTTGCTGTTTCAGTGTGATAGTATGTTGTGAGGTCAGTATAATAGGTTTTGTTGCATAGCTGGTCATTAGATATTTGCTTCGTGAGTATGCAGTCATTGTCTGATACTGTTATATCTTTAAGTGGGAATGTCCCTCCCTCTCTTTGGTTGTTACCAGAACATATCAATAATTGTTCGATTCATTTGAGCAAGCTTTCAACTGTTAACTTACATACAGTAGTTCGAAATTCATGATAGACATACAGATTAATAGATATTATTGTGAAAGCAAATGAGATGTTCAGAGTCGGGGATTTGCCGTGCTAGCGCGGCGCTAAGGATCACGTTACTATGCATGCATAACGACTCCGAGGAAGGACGATGCGCGAGCTTTGACGCGTTTTAGATTTCATTTCATTCCATTCTTTCTCCTTTAAGAAGATTTTGAACAACTTCCTCCAATTTAAGACGACCTTGGACAAATTTCTCCGATAATTTTCTGGCTACTTCAACTCAGGCACTCTGCAACTTATCCGACGACTCACATATCTGAGGATTCCTATTCTGGCTACGAGGCAGAAGTTGGTGAGCGAGGGGACTGTATTCAGTGATAACGAAGTATAGCCGTGCAGAGGAAGACTGGAGACGGGAGCGTAGCTGTAATCTACGAATTGTCTAAGTACGTCCTCTGTATGTGCGTCCTTTTCTCACCTTCTCTCGTCCTTTAACACTTATCACAGGTTGTGCACACGTTTGATTCAATCCGCGATTGCGATTATACATGAGCAAGCGACTTAATCCGACGTCCTCCGGACGCTCTACAGCAGCGAGTACGAGTGCAGCTCCTCAATCCCGCTCATTACATGACTACGTAACCACCTTTGCTAGCCCTTTTTCACTGAACTGATTCGTTATCAGCAACTTGGTGATTCGCTTGGTAAAGGCGCTTTTGGCCAGGTCTACCGAGCGTTGAACTGGGCCACAGGCGAAACAGTCGCGATCAAGCAGATATCACTGAATAACATCCCTGCCTCCGAGCTTTCTTCCATTATGTCCGAAATCTCCCTATTGAAGAACCTGCGCCACCCAAACATCGTGAAATATAAAGGCTTCGTCAAAACACGGATGCATTTATACATCATCCTCGAGTTTTGTGAGAATGGGAGTCTGTCTCAGATTGGCAAGAGATTTGGAAAGTTTCCCGAGGGGTTAGTAGGAGTCTATGTTAGTCAAGTGCTAGAAGGCCTGTGCTATCTACATGAGCAAGGTGTCATCCATAGGGATATCAAGGGCGCCAACATCCTCACCAACAAAGATGGTACCGTCAAGCTAGCAGACTTCGGTGTAGCCTCGTCCACGGCGATTCCCTCAGGCTCTTCCTCAGCTGAGGTCGTTGGTTCGCCATACTGGATGGCACCTGAGGTCATAGAGCAGAGTGGCGCTACTACCGCGTCAGATATCTGGTCTCTGGGATGCGTAGTAATCGAACTCCTAGAAGGTTCGCCTCCATATAGCTTTCTGGACCCAATGCCCGCGCTATGGCGGATAGTACAAGATGATTGTCCGCCCATACCTGAAGGAGCTAGTGCAGTTGTGAAGGACTTTCTCGCATGCTGCTTCCAAAAGGATCCCAATTTGCGGATTGGTGCGAGGAAGCTGTTGAGACACCCTTGGATGGTCGGTGTCAGGGCAAGAGTCAAAGAGGCAGAAGCGGAAAAAAAAGACGAGCAGGCGCAATCACATAGGCACAGCACGGATAACACCAGTAGTGGAGAAGATTGGACAACATCATCAACGTCTTCATCTACATCCACTCTCCATTTATCTAAATCATCTTCTCGCTCTCCACTCACGACAACCGTTGACAAGACTCGTGATCATATCGACAAATCGTCGCTACTGTTGTCAAAATCTCCCACCCAAACCGTTTCGTTGTCCAAATCTCAATTAGACTTAGGTTTGCAGAGACAAAAGACTCAGCGTCAACTTAGAAAACCTTCACAAAAGGTCAGCAGCGCGAAAAATAGTGCCCGAGCTCGACCATCGATATCTCCCTCCGCTGTTGCAGGACGCGTTCCTGGGACTGAAGGGAGGCTTGTTAGCCAGTACGGATACGACGAAGCAGTACAAAGGGTACAAGAATGGAATCAAGCGTTGAGTAGCGCGGCAAATTTATCCTCTTTACCGTCTTCCACTTCTATGACCATTAAACCCCAATCCCTTGCTGTTCCAGTAGCAACAATAGGCATGCCTACTTCAACCATCAATAGCTCAGGCTCAGCGGGCTCAGTACCGACCATTCGTCTTTCTCCTATGGTACCGATTCCCATGTTTGTTCCTTCTTCCTCCGCTTCCTCTGCATCATCTGGCTCTGGTTCTGGTTCCACATCTAGCTCTTCAGATCAGGGCAAGACAATTAGACCGGTCTTCACTCGTCCACCTTCTGTATCCAGCGACCTTTTAGGAAATAAGGATACGCACTCTCATACAAAGGACATGAAAGGGAAAGGGAAAGGACCTACACTCATTACACCATCATTTAACTCCTTAGGCTCGTTGAATGCACTTGGCGGCATAGCCGGCGTGCTTACAGACCAACGCAAACAACTAGCCTTCGTGGAAGAAGAGGACGAGATGGATCGCGACCGCTGGGATGATGATTTCGATCTGGGTGAAGACGACGATTTTGCTGCGCGGAGTAAAATTGATGCTACGAAAAGTAAGATGGATTTCGGGGTGGGGATTAAGCATAGTAAACGAGACGCACTTCATGGAACCTCAAATAGTTCTGGCTCAAGTTCTGACGGAGAAGACACAACCCTTACATCGAGTTCCAAGATCAAACCACAACCTCGGGCAAGAGACGATCGAACAATTCGAGCTTCACCTGGGGCATCATTATCTCGCCTTCCTTCTTCCTCGAACTCATCTCCCTCACAATCATCTCCTGTGCCTCCAATATCGCCCTCGCGCCTTCCGGTGGCTGCGGTTATGACTAGGTCAGCCTCTGATACGACTAGTGCATCGAGCTCGGGTACCACATATCACGCCATGAGTGAAGCTGAGGAAGAAAATTATGATGACGACTTCTTGGGTGGTGGTGATAATGATAGTGGATTAGAAGATGGCAATGCATTGTTGGAGAGAAGGGTAAATGAATTCAAGGTGATTGTTATTTTAGAATCATCCCCTATTTCAATACTCAATGAATCTACTATTTCAACAGGCAAAACTTGTGTCTCAGCGACTCCAAAACCAGCAAGGCAGCAGTAATCGTGTAGGCTCGTTCTCTCGTCCGTTGTTCCATCCAGACGATATAAAGAGTGCTCTATTTCCACCCGCTGATTCTGGTCAGGCTATTACGACATTATCTTCACCATCTGGATCAACCTCCCGACCGAGTGTCCATGGACGAACTTATTCAGCCTCTGCTACATCCTCATTCTCATCCTCGCCCTTCTCTGCCCCACTCTCATCCTCGCCATCAAGTGCTCGTAGGCCGCAACTCACACTTCCTCCTTCTACTTTCAGCAACAATCACAAGCGTATATCTCCAGGTCCGTTGACGGCGCCGTTACCCGACATGGCTCAAGGTAACGACGACGTTTGGGACGCTGATTATGAAGACGAGTATGATCATCCTGGTCCCTTCAGTGCTGAACATAACGATTTGAAAAATGGCGTAGGTGGGAGCGGAAGTGTGCGGAGGGCGAGTGCCGCTCAAAAGGGAAGCATAGGAAGCATAGAAATTGGAGGCCGGAAGGGGAGTGTACGGAGTACGGGAAGCGAAGGTGGAAGAAATCGAGGTAATAGCGACGGAAGCGAGGGAAGGAGCGCTGGCTACGGTACTAAAAATCAACGAGGAAGTATCCGTAGTCTCAGCGAAAAATTTGATAAGTACACGGAACATCCAGGCCAAGAAGTGGATGCCGAGGACTTTGATTATGAAGATAACAATGATTCTCCTTCATCAACCGTGGGCTCCGGGGAGGGCGGCCTCAAGCCGGGACTGCTCAAGCTCAATTCTCGACTTTCCAATCGATCATGGTTGGGTGATGAGGATGATAATTCAGACGAGGACGTGTTTGCTGAAGTGAGTGCTATTGTTTCATACCAGTATTAACTGAACTCAAATCATCACAATACTTCAGTTCGATGAGCCTTTTGCGGAAGATGACCTCGAAACACATCTGCAGAGAGATAAACAGGCGCGGTTATCTGCGAGAGTGAGCGCGCTGGTTGATGATTTGAGCTTGAATGCAAACCCGATTGGAAGTCTGTCGAACGTCGGCACTACTGGGGAAATTCAAGAAGGAATAGAGATCAGGGAACGCCGCCTGAGGGATATTGTTGGGGAGCTGGTGAGTTTTACTTCTGCCATTTTGTTGCAACGTTGTTCTTGTTCTAAAATTTCTGCGAATGTTTCTAGCTCACCATCCTTGTCACCTCACCTGAGATGCAAATTCAGCTGGTTACCTCTCATGGCATGCTTGCAATTTTGGAGGTTCTCGAAGGTTATCAATCGCGCGTTCTTGATCCCCAATCGAGGATATCAGCTTCTGCTCAATCCTCTAATTCTAGTCCTGCCCCCAGTCCTCTAACAAGCGTTGTCCCGCTTCCGGGATCAGCAGTAGGGACGGGCCGCAAAACTAGTACTATGGGTGGCGTGGTCAGTTCTCTTGGGTTGGGTTCTTTGGCGTCACTAGGATCTTTAGGAATAGGAGGAAGATCATCTTCAGGAGTTTCTGCAACCAGCTCAGCTTCTTCGACTACTTCTCGTGATTCCCTCGGCATATTAGGAAGCTTACCTATGCATAACACTGTAACAGGGATTGGTGGCGGCTTAAGTGCAGGCGGCCGAGAAACTGTGTCACAGTTGTTGAGAATTATCAATTTAGTGAGTACAACGCGCCTGCTGTAATATTTTGCATTCGCTGAATCTTCGGTCAAGCTCGTCACAGGTAACATAGGTTTTTTGGAGAGTTTCTGCTTAATAGGTGGCATACCCGTTGTTATGGGTGTGTGCATTAGTTTTCGATTTCTATTCCCCTTGTGCAGAATTGTTCGATCACAGGCTTCACATCTAAACGCTTTCCCTCCGAGTGCCGTCTTGAGGCATCGAATTTCATCCAGCTCATGTGCCATACGTCTGTGTTAACGCTCCAAATGTTCATCTCGTGAGTTTCGTCGTATATACTGCTGTGCTCCAAAATTCATATTTTTCTCATCGTCGCAAGTTGTCGTGGCCTCAAAGTACTCGTCGCCCTCCTAGATGAAGATTCTTCACCTCTCGTCGCTCACGCACTCAATGGCATCTCGAGCGTTTTCGATCTCCAATCTCCCACCACGAAGAACGATTTTTGCCGCATGTTCGTTCGAGAGGGGTTGCTTGATCCTCTCAGTGGGGCCTTACTGAACGTCATGGCCAACGGAAATGTCAACCTTGATGGCAAGCGTACACCTAAGGATAGTCTTGGTGGTGAGAAGGGTGAGGAATATTGGGGAGAAGAAGATCACAGAGACAGTGTGGGACTTGAGGGTGAAATGAAGATGAAAATCATACAGATCTTGCTGGTGTTCTCGCAAGTCTCACAGTCAGACTTTCATGTGCGTAATGCTGTCGGGACAAGGAAGGTTATTCGAAGTGAGTTGTTTCTATTCATTCATAATTGCGCTCGATTGAAAACGGCTTATCAGGACTTTTGCGCGCCTGCGAGTTGCTTGAACCAGAATGTCTCGTGTTAATGATCAAAGCTGTGAAGCATTTATCAATGAACATCTCCTTACTGGACGTACTTCAGAATGCCAATGCCATCGAGATCCTTGTGCGGATTCTGGAAGAGCAGACTTCTGGTCCGTATAACACTGTTAGTCACCTCCTCGCATTCGTTTCACTCCGATATATGACTTTTTTCCCATCACTTATGTAGGAGATATCGAACCATATCTTCCAAACATGTTTCAACCTTTGCCGCCTGAATAAGTCCCGTCAGGAAGAGGCTGCACAGGCGGGAATAATACCCTGTCTACAGCGCGTTGCAGAAACGCAATCTCCTCTGAAGCAGTTTGCGATCCCGATCTTGTGCGACATGGCATCTGCAGGGAAAAACTGTCGAAAGCTGTTATGGCAACATGATGTATTAAATATGTATCTGAGGTTGCTGGAAGATCCTTATTTCCAAGTCAGTGCGTTAGAATCCATCTTGTCTTGGTGAGTGATAATGTATCATGCACTTTGAATGGGTACTAAGCATAACTTTTGATAATCAGGTTACAGGACGAACCCGCACGCGTGGAAGATGGATTGACGGAACCCAGCGCAATTCGTTCGGTACTGGATTGCTTCGTGACCGCTAAAACTAACTCTTTCGAAAACCTTCTCGAACTTTTCCTTAAGCTTACTCGTATATCCACCCGCGTCACCACTTCCTTCAGTCGCTCTCCGGCCTTTTTCCGTCGAGTAGCAGATCGGTTAGGACACAACACTAAACCTGTGGTACGGCTCAATCTCCTAAGGATCCTTAAAACAGTGTGCGATGCACACCCCAACAGGGGCATGCTCGTCGAGAAATATGGGAGTGGTGACGGACTACTTGGCGTCGTGGAAGGCTTAAGCCGTGGGGGAGGTGATGGCGCAGTGCTGGTGAGGGAGCTGGCAAGAGAAATTATACCAGTGCTTCGGCCAGGGCTGAAGCCGCTTCCTAGCGGCAGAGCCAGTGGTAGGGGTGTTACGCCGAAGCGAATGAGGAGAACGGCGTCTGAGGCGTCAGCGCCGGTCGTTGACACTGGATTCACCGGGTCGGCGGTCACTGTGGGTGTTGCGTCTGGAGGTTCTATCTTGTCCAGTGATAAGACCGGTTTGCGTCCAACTGCCGCGTCGAGATCTGTTTCGACGCGGCCAAAAGCAAGTCTTAGAGATATATCTTGGCAGGGAACTCGATGATTTTGGGTGAGGAGTGTTTTCGTAATGATATTGACCATTAATTTGTAAGTACTATCGTGTACTAGTCGTTCTCTACAACTATTGTCGACTTGCTTTCTTTCTTTCTGCATTTTCTTGCTTTCGATTGGCGTTATCATTGTTTATTACATTCGTTTGCATACATAGTACATATATCGCATTATTACAATCATTATACACTCGCATGCATTACCTCAAAAGAGGAAAAAGGTTTCAGAACCTTTGCGATGCATCATTTGTGTCCCACACTAATCATAGAGGGGTCGTGTCATTGCATATGGATGAGAGCTAAACGCAAGGCTCCTTCTCTCAAACTCGATATCGTCTACTGGGGCCCCGTAGTCCTGATCCCTCCCCTTTCCTGAGGTTGGAGTACGTATCGATGGAGGATTTACCAAAGGAGCGGGGAGGGATAAAGAATATGGCCGCCAGGCTTCGCCCGAATGATTATCTGTATTCGACTGATACGCCCTTGAATGCACAGAGCTCAGCGGGAATACTTCAATGTGATCCTGATGCTTGTCGGGCGATTGCATTAGATTAAGAGTTATTCGAGACATCATGGTGACCTGTATAAGCAGTAAACAAACTCGTCGGTTGAATTCTGTCACCTGTAAAATGACAGTAGTCGACTTACAGTGACCCTGTTGGGTGATGTAAATATTCAGTAAAGAGAATCTCGACGATGAAGGAGACAACTTACAATAATTCAAGTCTGTTGAATAAAACCCAACTGAAGTGAACCAAGCAACCTTCAGATCAATGTAAGATGAATGGCTCACTGTGCAGTGATATTTTTAAGGCCTGAGTCCGCGACGGCAATCATCAGAGACAACACCAAGTTTACCGCAAAAATTACACTACGAAACAATTAAATCTAATTGAGGCCTGAGAAGACCTTGGAATGCTCACCCGAAATAAATCAAGCCATCTTGCAATAGTCGCCTCATCACATATACAGTAGTTGATCCTCGGGCATCGCGGACAGACGGTATTGTAGCTCCAAGAGTGAGGCCGAGTACAACTGTGTCATATAATAGGGGAAGCCAAGCAGATGACGATGTTGCGATAGAATTTCTGACAAAGGCAAACATTAAGTATCTCAAAGACAGAGAAGTTCGGCTCCTCACTTTTCTCCGAATATCATTGTACAGGCTGCAGAGATTTGAGCCCCGCATACAGTGTAAGCGAATATCAGCTCCCACATATACATAGAAGACTAACAGATTATATTCGGGTGGTGTTGCACCGCTGCAGGGATTATCACATTATGGTTAATGCACTTTTTGTTCTGCACGTCGAGAGACACTTACGCTTTCCGGTAGACATTAACCAAGCGTAGGTTCCCATTTCGATCAGTAGCAACACTGCAACGCCTGCTACAATGAACTTTTGATTTCTATACAATGCATATATCCTAGCGCAATCAGATATGGATTACTTTCGCTACTGAAATAAACAAACCAAGCGTCTCACCGAATAAGCATCATTAGTCCTACGATGTTGATACCGATCATAGTCATTGCACCTTCATAACGGACAAAATGCTGGCACCTGATGGAGTATGAGCGCATGCGCGGGAGTGAAAAACTCATATCTACGGATAGTTTGATCCCAACGTACGTCTACCTCGCCACAACATATACATGAGCAAACGATGAGCTCGAAAGTCCAAAATCTTACCTCTTGGTCTATACGAAGGTAGGCTGGTATATGGGGCATGAGAGGGGCGAAAGAAGCATGCTAAGGAAGGCCGCTCACCGAATAGATTGACAATGAAACCTAGTGGTATCAGATACCGATTCTATAAACCTTGGATTGACATGTGAAATATCAAGTATTCATCGAGACCTACAATTAAGAAAAGATACACGACTCAAGAAAGGATAGTATCAGTACGTGTTTCAGCGGAAATGGATATTCCTGACTTGGCTTTTTCTCTCCAACTCGAGGCCAGACATATTCCACCTGACACCAGATGAATATTATCCGTGGATGATGATCGATGAAGACATAACCTACCTCGGTCGTGAAGGTATCCAAATGGTCCCATATCATGATAGTGAAGCCGACAAATGCCACATACTGTGTACCATTATCAGAAATGAGTTTTTACACAACAAAGGGGGGAAACTCACATTGGTATCGCGCCTGAAATAAAGTGAGGGTTGCAGAAAGTCGTACAAATAAATAATGGACTTACACCTCAGTCGCGTCGCTAATCAGGTCTAGATCCATGATACCCCAAGCAAATGCGAATTTCGATTTCGGTGATTTACAAGAGCTATAGAAGGAGACTGGGTAGAAGAAGACGGAACGTCGTGCTTTATATGTCTGAATACCATTCGTATGACATTCCGTACGTATTGGGGCGTGTTGCTGTACCTTGAGGCGTCTATGCAGTGTGTACATTAAACATATTACACTGCCACCCCCGCGGGGAACCCGACTTGCAATTGTCAAGAGTGCCACTATCAAATCAGCCGAGACAACTTGGCTATACGAGTACCGATATTTGTGCACCACTTTTGTTTTTGTCCATTTCAACATGATCTATAGCAATAAATGTGGCTGAAGATTGGAGTCAGAGCGGGAGAAAACTTAGAAGGTGTATGAAAGGTATATACACTGTATAGGACCATATGACTCCAGGTAATAGATAACCATTGGCTGGGGTCTGGTGAATACACCATTCCACCGTTCAGATGTTGAACAGGAGCAAGGCACCCCGGTAATGTTGCGCAATTAGAGCGGTTAGGATATCTGTCAATTACTAATACTAAGAACCACAGCTAAATTATAAAGCTCTACTATGCTGCTCTATGGGAATTTGGGAAGGCGAGCTGAAGGCTGCTGAAGGTGACTGGTCTGTGACAGCTTGTGACCCGCCCTTATTGCGTTACTAGTGACACGGGACGCAAAAGCCATGGCAGTTCATTTGAACTGCCATTAAGGCATCCACTGTGGCATCTAGTTGTGACCAGTGACTGTCACGGACTGGCAGGGATCAGCGTCAGCCATGACTTCGGCATGACATGTGGTGTTTCACCATATTTTTATTTTTGTTGACTCTTTCTCAATATTGCATGTAAGTACACATTCCCTATGTGATTTAGTAAAGTAATATTCTTACAAATCATAAATATTATCTCTTCATTTCAAAGAACTTCAACTTTTCATCTCCAAGACCTGTATTGTTGGCTAGTGCAGCTTGAAGCACCTAATATTTTTACTCTCCTTACTTTGGCTGCTAGAGAGCATTGTTGGGCCCCAGTCAATGATATTGTACAAAGAAGACTGTTGATAACAAGTAATAGATAGTATATAAATGACTTGTTATAAGAAGTGCTCTTAATAATTATGCAGTTGTAATAACAACAGTTCATGCTTCATTTGGATCAGTAATAAGGACTGTTAATTATAATGAGATAAGGAATTGAATCCATGAGTGCTAAAAGAACAAAAACTCACCTGCACACTCCAGCTGCACCAAACTCATTCATTGTATGGAATATATTGAGTCACATACTATGATTACATTTTGTTGTGCAGCAATTTCATTATTTATTGATGTCTAACTGTAGCAGCCTTAGTAAGTTAAGTAAATTAATGGTGTTTTTAGCTTCAAACAAAACTAAAAAAAGGAGATGCAGAAAAAAAAGAAATGTTTTGCAAATGATTAGAAATTTTGCCAATCCAGGACTCTATAATAACTTTAGAGTCAATGATAGTGCTGTCCAGCTAAGCAAGTATTCAAATAGTCCATCAAGAAGTGCATTTATTGCATGAGATTGTTGCTTACCAGCCTCTACTTACAGATAATGTACATTTTGCCATTGCTTTGAGACCTTTTGTTAAGATCATGTACACCGTGTAACCGTGCCAAGGCCACAGGGTGTCTAAGTGCGGAAGACGAATGGGACAGTAGTGAAGTTATTAACAACACCGCCGTTACGCCGTTAGTCCCCGGAGAGCGAGAGTAGAGAGAGAGGAGCTAAGTAGCAGCCAGGTCGGAGTGGCGGTATCGCCGATGACGAGGAGCGGACCAGAGAACGTCAAAGTCCTAAGGTCGAGGAGAACGTACTTCGAGGCGTTGAGCCTGAAGACTTAGAGAAGAGTTAAGTTGAGAAGGGAGATCTAAGTTGATAATTAAACTGAGGAACTACAGTAGCGTACAGGCAGTATTTATATCTACGGAGCGGCGCAACGGGGCGGAGCGCCAGACTAACTACTAGGAGTTATACGTGTAGTCCTGCAGGGTGAAGTAAAAGACAATAAGGAGGGACTAGAGTGAAAGGGTATGTGTAGCGAGAAAGAACAATAAGGAAGAGATTACAATAAAAGGTAGATCTTCGGAATACCGAGCGGCGGAATGGAGGCCCGAGGCATGGACTTGACAGTATCCCCCTCTTAGGCTTGAGCCCTCGAAAGCCATTAATACCGGGAGTTGATTTGTCACCAAGGAAAAATTTTAAAGGCCGTCAGCCTCGGGAATTTGGCCCATCAGTCAGCAGAAAAATTTTCAAAGGCCGTTGGTGCCGGGGATTGTTGTTAGTCATCCAAGAAAATTTTCGGTGCACCGTAGACCATGTACAATTCGAAGAAAATTTTCGCTGGTCCGTGCGCCATTTTGTCCTTATAAAAAGGGCCAGGTTTTGCCGATGTGGCCCTAACTTTCCCCACTTCCCAAGTCGACAATGTCACACAGCCGTACTCAGACGATCACCACCCCTTCTTCAACTACGGCCGGCCCTTCAAGGTCGCGCCCCTTAAACCCGCCTCCCGCCGATCCGGTTGACGACGACGATGAGGCCTTGGAAGAAGACGACGACGAAGCCATCCGACAGGCCGAAGAAACAGTCCGCAGGATGAAGGCAAGGAAAGCGGCGGCGGCGGCCAGAAGGAAGGCCGAAGAAGAAGCGGCCAAGAAGGCTGCAGAAGAGGCGCAGAGGAGGAAGGAAGTAGCCGCGCGAGAGTTGGAGGAGCGCCGTAGGGTGATGGCGGAGGCGGCCGCCGCTCGCAGTCGGCAGGGGTCTTCGCCAGGAGGAAGTTCGATTTCCCCACGACGGCCCGTGGTGGAAGTCCGTAAGGACAAGGGAAAAGGAAAGGCCAAGGCCCAGGTGAGTAGCGCGTAGCCTCGAATTTAACCTTTTACTAACATTCCTGTTTGTAGCCTGTTGGCGGGGACCCCGATGACGGCGACGACGGGGATGATGACGACGACGACGACGACAGAACTCCTTGCGAATGTTGCAGGAGTAAACGGATCCCTTGCCTTCAGCAGGCCGGCAAGCGGAGTAGCACCACCTGTAAGCCCTGCCATGATGCAAAAGTGCGTTGCTCGCACTCCAACCGGCCCCCCACGGTGAAAAAGGAGGTACCTTCCCACCCGACCGGCGAGCGTCTGGCAGTATTGGAGAGCCAGGTGGCTCAATTATTGGCCGACAACCGGGTTCTCCGTGAAGGTCAGATCAAGTCCAACACCTACGACCGCCACATCATCAAGAAGCTCGAGTGGTTGATGAGGGACGCCGCAAGGAGAAGGGATTCGCCACCGGAGATGCCGGAACCGGGACCGTCGCGACTGCCGAAGAAAAGGAGAAGGGTAGTGGATAGCAAGGAGGAGGAAGAGGATAGGATAGTAGGAGAGGAAGATGGAGAAGGAGAGCAGGAAGTAGAGGAGGAGGAAGGGATGGAACCGGCGCCGAAGAAGGCCCGGTCGGAGAAGGGGAAGGAGAGGGAGGAGTAGTAACGGACATCGGACATCGGCCCCTCGGCCCTTTTTGTAATCTTCTTGTAGTCTTCTTGTGGCCTCCTGTCTTCCTACATCATTTTCTTTTGCTTTTGTATATAAAAATTATTAATGCGATTTGAATCGGAAGGCGAATGGGCCGCGAAGCGGCGTAAGAAGTAATTAGTTTTGAAGTATAAGTAGTTTAAGTGTGATTTGAAGAATAAGTAAATTAGTAACTAAGAAACAAAGTAAACAATTTAAGAAGGGAAGGTAAACACTCAATTTGCTATCATCGTGTTTACCCTCTAAACACACAAAGTAAACTTCGGCGGAGCATGGCGAAAGCGGGGAAAAGGAATAGGATGTTTTTGTGATCAAGGTCCAGGCTTGTGAGGGTATCGGGCGTGGAATGCCGGTACAAGTTCGTCAGCATGTAGTTCATCAGCAGCAACCCAAGAAAACTCATCGTCGGTACCTTCATAACCGGCCCACCGAATGTAATATCGTAGAGGACAACGTTTGTACCTTCTGTCCAACTTGGAGTCAAGGATTTCGGCAACGTTGTACTCCTCTTCACCATCAACTTCAATTGGAGGTGGAGGAGATTGAGTTCGATTCGGGAAAGGATTCGGCGTAACCGGCTCCAGCTGTGAGACGTGGAAAACCGGGTGAATTCGGCGAAGGTAGTCCGGGAGCTTGAGCTCGTAAGATAGAGTACCAGGTCGACTGATGACCTTGAAGGGACCAAGATATTTTTCAGAGAATTTTTCAGTAGGACGAGTAGAGCGAATATGCTTAGCAAGAACAAATACTTCGGAACCGATCGGGAACTCCGGATGCGAGATTCTTTTCCTGTCAGCTTGTTCCTTGTAACAAGACTGGGCTAAAAGGATTTCCTCTCGAAGGAAAGCGTGGAGTTCATCAAGGTTGACGACGAAGTCTCTAGCAAGATCAGACTTCATGTCGACCTCGGGCCGAACGGTGATGTTTGGGTGGTATCCTTTGTTGGCGAAGAATGGAGTAATACCAGTGGAAGCATTGGGAGCGTTGTTATAGGCGAATTCGGCGATCGGAAGTAAAGGCGACCAGTCATCTTGTTGATAGGAGCAGTAGATCCTGATGTACTGTTCGAGAGTCTGATTGACACGCTCGGTCTGCCCGTCGGCTTCCGGATGATATCCAGAGGTATAGTGAAGTTCCATGGAGAGCGCTTTACCGAGAGCCCGGAAGAACGCCGAAACAAATTCGGAACCACGATCAGAAGTAACATGATTAGGAACACCATGCTTAGAGAAGACGTGAATAACAAAAAGCTCAGCTAGTTGTTCGGAAGTAATGGTGTCGTGAGTTGGAATAAATATAGCTTGTTTGGAAGATCGATCCACGACGACGAGGATAGCTGTATAGCCATTTGACATCGGCAGTTGCTCAATGAAGTCCATGGATATGGAATCCCATGGTCGGACCGGAACCGGCAGAGGCTTCAACAACCCGTAAGGCCGATGGCGGCGAGGTTTGTTGCGCCCACAGATAGTGCAAGAGGTAACGTAGTCACGTACGAAGTCTCTGACCTTGGGCCAGGTGTACTGACGACGTACAGCTTCCAGAGTGCGGTTCTGGCCGAAATGGCCGGAGAGTGGATGATCATGGAAGTAGCGGAGAACTTGAAGGCGAAGGTCGCCGTGATTAGGGACATAAATACGGTCGTCAAGGCGTAGTAGCTTGTCACTACCTAAGCTCCAACGTTCATTGGAAGGATCTTTTGCAAGTTCCAAACCAACAACGGAGCTCGGGTCGGCGGGAAGGGCGAGGATGATGGCTTGGTGTAGGGCTTCGATATCCATGATAATCGAGGCTCGTAAAACCGGGCCTTCCAAGAAGGTAGCTCGAAGAGACGCAGTGAGTTGTTCGTTAGTAAATATAGGACGGAAGTTATGAGGGTTCACTTGGGCGTAGCCGATATCCCCCTCTTTAGGGTAGACGTCCCAGCGT